AATAATAATAATCACATAGTTTGTGGCCATTTATGCACATTTTGGCATTTACATCCAGCAATATTTAATCCCAAATTGTGGATAAAAACATGTATGGAGACTAAGGGGCTTCTTACACTATGCTATCCGAACCGTGCCCAGGCCCGTTTCCCGCATTTGAAAAGTGTGAGTGTTTTGAATCGATCTCAGAGCACGGTTCACTTGGGCTTTGGTACGCTTGTAGTGTTAGTGAACGAAAACTGTCATAGTTTATTAAAGACGCAAACCCCTAACTGCACGACAGCTGCATCTTTAGCAAACCTTCTAATTCATGCAGCATGAGGACTTTATGGTTGTTTATGAGCGTCAAAAGTGGCTGATCTGTTCGGCTAAATATTTGATTGCATGTCACTGCATCCCAATAGAATAAAACGATACAACTAAAGAAATCTACTCTGTGCTGAGCGAAAGCGCTTACTGAACACCGCATCATCGATGACGTAAGCGCGCCCAGGCCTGAATGTAACGTGAGCGTGGGCCGTTGGGGGAGACGGAAGGGGGGACAAGGGTGCTTTGGACCGGTTCAAGGCCACTGTACATACTGTGAGTACACCCTTAGCTATTTACCTCAACCTTGTGAGACATTTTGATCTGCAAATATGCATGTTTTGTTCTGTCCAAGAGTCTAAACTATTGTAAAAACAATATTCAAAATTTTTTTAATTATAATTTTTCTCTCTGTGGGTGCTTTGATGGCTCCCCATAGTGTGGAATATGCTTTGTAAGCTGCATTATCAGTGAAAGCTGGATTATCACCAGTGAATTCCTTAAACTTTGGCCCTTTTTCTCATGTAAAGCTGAAAATCTCAAAAACACCCACTATCACATGGCCAACATTTATGCATTTTGTGAGTTTTGAGTCACATTTACATTCCAATAAATGTAAAAGAGCACTGTGACAATCTGATAAACTACTTTTAAAAGAAACGTTTTAAAGTCTTAGTTTGATGATTGTACTGCCAATACACTCAAGAAAGAAATATTTCTTTCTGCTTTTGATAACTTAAATGTTTCAAGTTTGATCTACTTAAATTTGTAACTATAAAAACTTGTTTTGTGTTGGGACAATAAAGGAATTGTGTTTGTTTGACTACTTGGGTATAGTGAAATCTAGTTCTCAGCATGCTTGGCATGGGATTGCAGTAAGAGTGAAAGATGTTGACAATAAAAGTAATCTTTAATGTTTTAAATGTTGGGCACTGATGCATTTTGTGTTACCAGCTTTATCAAAGGGCACCTATTTTACCCCTTTTTCAAGATTGAAGATAAGTCTTTTGTGTCTCCAGAATGTGTCTGCAAAGTTTCAGCTCAAAACACCCAATAGATTATTTACTATACCTTATAGAATATTGGGATTTTCGCCTCTGAACACAATGCAGCTTTTTTTTTGGGCCTTTACCTTTAATGCTAGTTCTTTCCACCCACTATTCTCACGTGCCTGTCAGAGTGTGTCTCAATCTTTACCTTGGCTGCGTCAGATAAACAGCACAGTGACAGACATGAAGGAAGCAGATCTCTCGTAATATTTGTGAGAAATACTACAGCAAGAAATTTATCAATGGCTATTTGATGTATTTGTTATGGAGTTAATTCAAGCCTTTCTGCGACTAGTCACACACAATGTTGTTCGAATGTTCACACACCCACACACACACACACACACACACACACACACACACACACACACACACACACACACACACACACACACACACACACACACACACACACACACACACACACAGACAACCACACAGAATGCACGTTTAACTTTGCATGGTTTTTGCACAGCAAATGAGACCGCATACACATTAATATCCTCTGCTGTATGGATATCCGTTATGTTAATGTACAAAATAAACCTGATTTAATGTCCTCAAACTGGGACTGAAGCATCTTCTTTTATAATTGTACTGACATGCAGCTGTGGTGATAGAGAAAAATCACTGTAATTGATTTCAAACATGCACTGTTTTAAAAACGTTTTCAACTTGTAAAACTCATTCTTGATCACATTTGATGATGATTGATGATCACAGAGAGCTGAACAGAAATTTTAATCCCAGCTGCTTTGCACACGTTCTTTCTTGTTGATATGATTATACGAATTACTACGGGGGCATGTTAATGCCCTGCTGTCAATCAATTCGGCGAATGGGAAAACTTCACTCCTACATCACATTACTGCCAACCTCAAAATGGGAGGGATTTGGGCCCTTTTTTAACATCAGGAAATAAAAAAGAGACTTATTGTCTTTATATCACCCCAATATGACTGTGGATACACTATACTCAGCCTGATCTCACGAGAAAACGTAAGTATTTTACGTTTTGCCAGTTCAGTGGCTAATTCAGTCGTACGAAATGGTACGATTTTAAAAAGGAGGCGTGGCACCTGACCCCACCTCTAACCCCAACCGTCATTGGGGGATAAGCAAATCGTACTAAATTGTACGAATTGTACGAATTAGATCGTACGAATTCATAGGAATTAGCCACTAAATGAAAAAGTTACGAATTGCCGTGAGATTGTGTTGCTATACCTACACACAGTTCTGTCCAAACAGTTAACAAATGATGATTTTCATCATAGGTGCCCTTTAATGTGCAGGAACTGTGCTAATGCTAATTTTAAGATCTCAGTCAACAGTAAGTATATTTAAAGTTTAAACTGCAATAAATAACGGCAAATTCTACTTAAATTAAGATCGAAATTAATTGGCTCCACAAGTGTAAACTGTGTTCAGGGTGAGTGAAATTATACTTATTTGACATCACTGGTTCAAAATAAGCTGTGCTCTTGGGTTCCGTTTGCCTAAAATATGTTAAATAAAATGTTACAATTCAAATGAGTTGAAATGTTTATAAATTTAGTTACACAGATTCATTTTTGTGTGGTAAACTCCAAATTTCTTTTGGAAGCCTAATGTTTTGCTTTATTTTGTTGCTCACAGTGCCACATTCTATACATTTTGCTATCTATTCTGCTATATATTGTTTCACATTAGATGTTTAATGATTGCTTTGTTCTGTTGACTGCATTGCCAGGTACTAAACCTTCAGATAAACCTTTTTTTTTTTATAAAAAATATTTAAAAAGTCAAAAGTTTGTTTTTTTATAAACACACACTGCCAGATCCTAAACCTCCTGCTTAAATTCTGTTATGAATGTTCAAATGAATGACATGTTTTGTTTTGGTTTAGTAATCATACTGCCAGGGCACTCTTGAGTAATTTTGAGCAATACCCATTGCATACTGATCACAGTCTTCTTCCTCTCTCTTTCTGTCACACCGTGAAGATGCCCTGCCTGTTACGCTAATGGACAGGAAGCCTTGCAAAAATATGAGGAAAGAGAAGCAAAGATACTGAGTGAGAGAGACAGAAAGTGAGACAAAGAGAGAGAAAATAATCTGCTGACAGCTCACAGTCGGAGTCACATGATATGAAATGAGAACTTGAATATTGGCACAGACACATCAGTCTGGTGGTTTCCATTTCGCGTCCTTTCTTTCATGTACATGCAGACATAAAGTGGTTATGCTGTGCACAACTTTGCCAAAGTGTGTGCGATGCAAACCCCAGATAAAATATGTGTTCACATATATGCCTATTGTAAAAATATCAGCTTTAAGATGAGATTACACTCACAAGTTAAGTGTTATGAAGAATTAAGTGAGCTGAGTATGTGTTGTAAATGTAATAATAATAATAAAAAAAACATACACAAAAACATTTGAGATTAAATGTACATTTATTAAATTCACTTCAGTGTATTTACAACCTGAATTTACTTGAGAGATACAGAACAATAAATGAACTAAGCATGATGACAAAACAATACATGTATAAAAACTGATTACAATTCAAAATATAAATAAGGGTGCATATCATATGTATTTGAACACGTGATAACAAAACCAATATTACATGGCATTAAAACATTGTAATTACAGCATCTGCCAACATTATTAGAGCACTTCGCATATTTAGAAGGTTTTGTTGAAGTAGCCATTACAATACTTAATGGAAAAATAAAAAATCATCCTTCAGAAGGCTCTATAAATCATAGAACAGAGCAATCATAAGGAGATTTGGGTCATTTTCCTTAAAAAAAATTATAATAAAACAACAACAAAATCAAGTTAGACCTATTTCAAAGGAAATTGAGAATATTAGTGTTCTGCAAGTTTTCAAGAAATACTTGCTGCGTCTCAGTTCAAATACTTATACTACACCCTAAAAGTATGTCCTTTTTTAGTGAAGGAAAAATATATACTTTTGAGTATATGCATACAGAAGAGTATACAAGCTTTGGGTCATACTTCCTCATTAACAGATTGTTGTGTTGCTTAATTATGAGCCCTGTCAGTCATCCCCACATCATCCATATTTCTGTCATATTTAATTTCCTACCTTATTGGAGAAGCAGCAGCAGGTTAATTCTCTATTTAGGAGTCTTTCATGCAGAAGAATCTCCTCAGGTCTTTGTATAATTATGCATTCAGATGTTAATGTCCAAACACGTCTTTATAGAAGTTCAGTATTGTTGTTCCTGATGATATATAACACAGAAAATGCGATTTAAACATATTTCCAGTTTTTACCTAAGCCTCATGCTTGACGGTTTGTCTCGCGCATCCGCCATGTTTGAGTTTATTTACACTTTTCACCTGGGTTTGTAGTTCTAATTGAATTAATGTCAAACGCCCACTGTGGGCAGCGTTTAGAGCAGGGGTGCTCAATCCTGTTCCTGGAGATCTACCTTCCTGCAGATTTCAATTGCTACCCATATCAAACACACCTGCCTGTAATTATCACGCGGTGTTCAGGTCCTAATTAATTGGTTCAGGTGTGTTTGATATGGGTAGCAACTGAAATCTGCAGGAAGGTAGATCTCCAGGAACAGGATTGAGCACCCCTAGTTTAGAGTATGGACGGTTCTACACTTAATTTTTAAAAAATAATATTAGGCCATGCGGCAACCTTTGGGATACTCAACATACTCCATTTCGTGACGTATTAATTTTATTTTCAAATACTTTTTAGGACGGATAATAGGCGAATTGGGATGCAGCATGCCAGCAAATGTGCTGCTGTCATTTCTGTAAATGTGGACATAAGTATTACAGTTAAAAGTGTATAAAGCTTTATAAAACATTATGAAACTGTCATTTTTGAAAACAAAAAAGGGTGAATGTTTTCAGATATATATTTTTATTGTATATACATAGAACAATAAAAAAAACATTAAGATTATTAGCTGGTTATATAGTGTCTTAATAACAAGTGTAGCCTTCAAGGAATGTAAAAAGTAGTGTTCATTTTGACCCGCACATTCTTATCCACAGCCTGAGAATGCTATAATCAGAAAATCCCCTTGTGGACCATTACAAAATGATTATATGCATAGGTTGGACAAGTGGTATGAAATTCATTAGTCATATATTTACACTGAACTCAATAAGAATGTGTAGTAAGGAAGTGCTCACTGTTCACAAGTACAAGTCAACGCATATCAATAGCAAAAAAGGCAATATGCTAATAAAAACATTGATGTATAAAAGACATCAAGCATAAGAGTTTATGTATGTCATGCCTTCTTAAACCTCAATGGATTCCTCAATATTTTGGCAGCTTACTCAGTAGTCACTAATTATTTGAAGTTAAGCCCCAAATCACTTTCACATCCAAGTTACATACTTGGCGATGCGTAAAGGCCAATTCCTACTGCACCAACAGACGCTGATTATAAGATGTCACTTTTCAGATATTCCACTCTGATTTATGTGTTGTGTTCTTGCTTCGCAATAAATTAAAGGCAATTTTTCAGCTTGAAAAATAATCAATGACACTAAATACCAAATTGAATGTTCCACTCTTAAAAATAAAAGTTCTAGAATAAAGTTTTCACAGTGATTCTTAGAAGGACCGTTTTGGTTCCCCAAATAACCTTTTTTTTTATCTTAAAATTTTATCTTTTATTTTTTAATATATAAATATTTAGTGTATTTTAGTGTAAAGAATGTTTGAAAATTTGCAACACGTGTGCTATCAAAGTGATGAAGATTATTTCTTTATTTGCTGGTGTTTTGTGTAATTGCATGTGCTTTCTTAAATTGCAGTTCGTTAATCGCTCTCGGCCACCACACTTTTTACTGTAAAACAGCTTTCGAGAACAGAACATTTCCCTCATGATTGCAACAGTGACAATAATGAGCCTTTTTTAATAGTGTAGGTGTTACGGTCTGAAATAGGTTTAATGTGTGGTGTCTTATTTAATTTGGTCACAATACATTTAATTTTCCTTTACATGCATCTGTTTATCTATCCGAAGAGTACTATTATAGTTTTGATTTCTTTGGCCAAGGACTGCACAGAGGCCACCTGACTGACAAGTAAAGTAAATAATCACACTTTGTTTTATTCAGTGTTAAGGGGTGTAAAGATGTAATGCTGATGTCCCTACAATAACAGACTTGTATGTAAAACTCTTTAAAGAACTTTGACATCCGAGACTGACACAACTACAAGTTAAACTAGACTGGTTCATGACAGATTGAAGGGAAATCTGGCATCAATGTTTCTCATTCATGAGAAGAATTTTCTTGACAGTGCAGTAAGTGGTTTTAAAATTAAGTTGTAATAAAATGATAATTTGACAAAATTGACTTTGCTCACAGTGGTATTTCTAAGCATGACATGCAAATATATACACAGGAAAAAAAGTTTATGATCTTTAATTAGGGGCAGCGATGGCCTAATTGTTTGAAAGTCAGACCCAAAGGTTGCAGATTCAGGTCTATCCAGGATTGATGGTGGGGGGAGTGAATAACCAGTGCTCTCTTCTAAAGCTAATATCATAGCTAAAGGTTGATTTATACTTCTGCGTCAAGTGCACGCATATGGTACGGTGCAGTTTTCGCACCGTATAGCCCTCGCCGTGGCTGACGCCAACACTGACAAGCACCTCTCAAAAAAAACTACATGTCCCAATGGCGTGTAGCGCAATCTTAGTGATTGGTTGACTTGGTAGTTGTGCAGAGTGTGGGTGGTGCTGAGAGCCGCAAGCCCGATGGAGCAAGTGTTTAGAAGTGTTGAGTCTCATGAATGAGCTCCAAATGTTTTGTGTTTACCTTATGATTAAAGTTGTTCCCGTCTCTGAATGAGCGAGTTTGAACTACTTATACATTAGAGTTCAGAAAAAACAAAACACCGGCGAAGAAACTCGACAAAGAGGGATATAAAAACCTACTGCTGGCTAGCGTAGCCATCAGTAGTGTTATTGCAGAGCAACACAAAAAGCACGCAGAAGTATAAATGCACAAGGCAGGTGCTAAAGGTTATGCTGATCACTCAACACAGAAGTATAAAACAGGTGGATTTTCAAAGCCTCAGCGCAGCCTTTGCATGATTGCATAGCTCTTTGCATAGCCCTCGCCGTGGCTGACACTGACACCGATCTCACAAAAAATGTGACCACATGTCTCAACAACATGTAGCGCAAGCTTTGTGATTGGTCAGCTTGGTAGCGATGACAAGTGTGGGCGGGACCAAGAACCACACGAACCCGTTGGAGCAAGTTTTTACAAGTGTTGAGTCCCGTGAAGGAGCTCCAAATGGAAACTTTTGTTTTGTTTTTACCTTATGATAAAGCATTTGGAAAAAACACAACAGCGAAGAAACAGGAACATGAAATCCTACTACCAGATAGCATTTCGGAAGTGTTAATGCAGGGCAATAGCACACAGAAACATAAATCCATGGAACGTGCAAGGCATGCGCCATGGGTCACTACGATCACTCGACACAGAAGTATAAAACAGTATGAATACTACTACTACATTATAAGACCCTTGAGCAAAACCCCCAACTGCTCCCTGGGCCCTACAACTAAAGAATTCATTCACATAGTGTTTATCTGCACACTCCTGTGTGTGTGCACTGTACTTCCTAAATTCAGAGTAAAAATTCCAAATATGGTTCACCCTATTTGGCAAAATGTCATTTTACTTTCATTTTGATCGTTAGGCAGAATATCTTCCATTAGTCTGCTGTGAGCGAGAGATAGAGAACGGTGAGCTCTAAAATAAACTCTGTCATCTATTCATTTTTCTATAATGCAGAATAATTCTATATCTTCCAGACATTCATAAAACAGTTTGCTAAATGAAAACTGTGTGTAGTGAGGCTTGCAGTATAATTTTAAAACATGGCTTAACCGATCAGAATCAAGTATTGCATCTATGTTTTTTACAAGTATCTTTTGAACATGTTAAATCACTGAGGTGCCTAGCAATGCCAAACAGGGCTAATACATAAATCTGATCTTTGGGGCAGCATCTGTCAGTGCAGTGTGAATTGATCTTGGGCCTGGACTTTATATTGACCATACATGATCAGGAAGTGTTGGCCGACATCACTTAATCTGATGAAAAATGTTCATACCCTCTGTATTTGCTTATTCAGAACTCAGACTTTGCACTCAGAGAACTCTCATGTGTCCCTTTTAGCTCCCCGCTAGTAGCGCCAGACCCTCCTGACTTGTCTCGGCAAAAAATCCTGCGAACGCTTCCCCTGAACTTCTCTGCTGCAAACAGGTAAACCAGAGGATCCAGACCCCCATTCAGGCAGGTCAGCGAGGAGGTAAGACGGTTAGCCAGAGCTAGTCCTCTTTTGATTTGGCAGGACAGGTCTGGGTGTCCGTAGCCCAGGATAAAAGTTGCACGACTTAAGTGATAAGGCAAAAAGCACACTACATAGATAAACATGACCAGACCGATGGTACGGAGAGCCCGGAGTTTCAGGGCTGGCTCCAGCCTTGAACCCTTGCGCAGACTGTTAACTATCAGCAGATAGCAGGAAAGTGTAGCAATGAAGGGTGGTGTGAAAGCTACAACAAGAGAGACTAGTGCACGCCATGAGGCCTTTTCTCTGTACAGTTGCAAACATACGGTTGAGCCATTGACTTCTACAGTCTGCTTGGTGATCAGCAGGGGTGCCATAGACACAATCACCAAAATCCAAAGTGCAAAACTGGCTATGTGAGCGTAACGAGGACGTCTGACCTTGAGGGAGCGTACAGCATGCACCACAGCAAGGTATCTGTCACCTGCAACACAGGCCAGAAAGTACAAACTGGCATACATGTTGACATAGAAGAAAAAGCCTGCAAGACGACAAGGGATTTCACCAAATGGCCAATGACCTCCAGTTAAATGATAAGTGGCCCTAAGGGGTAAAATAAAGACATAAAACAAGTCGGCAACAGCAAGGTGGAGCAGGAAGACGTTGGCTGGTGAGGAGTTGTTTCTCTGGCGGGCAAAGATCCACAGGGCAAGGCTATTGCCGCTTAGTGCCAGGAGGAAAACTATGATGTAGTAGATTCCAAACATCATGTTCTCTGCCGTGTTTTCCACCGGTGGGCAGCTGTCCATGGACTGGTTGGGCAGCAAGGTGGGAAGTTCTGTCAAGGAGGACTCCATTTTATAACTGAAAACAGAAGAATATGCACAGTTGTATTATTACCTCAAAATCATTTTCTCAGTTTATATACTATAATATATATATATATATATATATATATATATATATATATATATATATATATATATATATATATATATATATATATATATTAGATGCACACAATTATATATATGGTTTCCATAGGCATTATTAATTTTCTAGAGTAAAGAGTTTATTATATGACCTTAACCATATAACACCCAAACTCTTAAATCAAACCTCCACAGGAAACCCATGGCATAAGAGGAACATCAAAAGTGAGTCAAGTCATTCTAGACATTCAGAATATTATTTTTAAGGGGGTTGGAAATATGTGAACATGTAACACCTTAATCATGCCAATGAAAAATAAAACCCAAAATTAAGTAAAAGAGTTTTGAACCACTATATATGAGCAATATTACACTCGTAGCAGTGCAAAATGGCTGTAAATCAGCACTGGTGGGAGGCGTACGTATGTACAAGGTTGCAGGCCAAGTGGCTTAGTCTCGTACCTGTGACAATATGCAGCCATATCGCACTGCTACAAGTGTAATATTGCTCGTATATACTGGTTCAAAACTCTTTTACTCAATTTTGGTACAGCTGTAGTTAGAAATTATGCTGTTTTTATTCTCCTATTATGCAGTCGCTGTCGCCATCTTGTGGATGGACAATGTCAACAGTCTTTGCTCTGCTCAATGACACGCTAATGACCGCCGACGCAGAAATTATAAATATTTAAATTAGGCCCCATCTTTATAAATAAACTGCATAGTTGCAATCTAAAGAACTACATTCTCAAATCTTTTTTATTTCATAAAAGAAAACTAAATTAGAAAACATTCAAATTCCTCAAAGTTATTGGTGATTATCTGGAAATACTGCTTTGTTTACGGCTTGTATGTGTGCAGCACAAGTTTTGTTTTTCTTATGTGTAATTACAATACAAAATATACTGCCACCTGCAGTTATGAAAAAGTACATCAAAATCATTTGCAGGCTCAGAATACACATTCTAGAGACAGTCAACTGTCATCAGCTTGATGTTCACTCACTGCTTTGTGGCCCAGACAGCACCAGATGCAGCAAATTCAAGGCAACAACACAAATGGTTTTTGTCACCGCTAGCTCTTTGAGGTCAGCTTGGTGTGTCATCATGGGCTTCATAAAGCTTCATATTAAAATGAATGCAATGTTCATCAGAAGCTCTTTGTGCAACACATGGTTCCTCCACCAATAAGCCAACAGTTTTCATGGAGGTTAATGAGCCTGGTCACATCAACATGGGAAAGGCGGTTCCAGGAAGCTAAAAACGTTAAATTAATGAAATGGCTGCCCAGAGTCCTGACCTAAACCTTATTGAAAATCTCTGGAAAATCCTTGGTGACAAAGTTGCTGGTAAAAAAAAACCCTCCACTACATTCCATCAACTGTGAAAGATACTAAATAACAGCTAATCTAGATGCACAACAGTGCATAGACTAGCAATGTTCGGAAAGAAACTAGTTAGTAATGTCTTTTGAGAGACCAGTGACCTCTTATAAACAACAACAACAACAACAACAACAACAACAACAACAACAGCAACAACAACAAAAACAGTGACCTCAGAACCATTATACAAACTAAAACTTCAATTTTGTGAACTGTCCTAACCCCTAGAAAGACAAGTGATCTGTTCAGAAGTCACACAAATGTAAGAACTTCTAGACTTCCTACTTATTTTTGACTGCTGGGAACTTGAGGGAATTTAGTTTTAATCTATATTTGTTTTACTAAAATTACACCTGTTCTCTAATTTTGATAACCATTTTCCACAAAATCTATATATTTTTGGTCATAGTGACTTGATTATTCTGTAAAACACTGTTTTACAGAGGGATCTTTAACTCCCCACATTTCCATGAAGCACCACAAATGACATAGAGTTAGTCTCCCTACACTCCCATAACTGAGCAAGTTTTAATTTGCCTTTGGGAATATGTTTCCAAATACTTCTGTTATTCAAACATGCTTACAAAAATTGAGCCAAAAAAAAGGACACTTTGCTAATACAACACTCTTTATAATAGCAGCAACAGTAAAGGAGGGAGTGTTTCAGCTGTCTTCTGCTTGGCTTTAGTTGGCAGCGTCTCTGATATGTGTGTTTTAGGAGCGTGAGCAGATGTCTGTTCTCCACTGAGGGGTGAAGGTGCACAGACATCCAATGCCACACCACACTCCTTCCCTCCCTGGATCTGCTTTCAGCCTCAGCCAGCTGTCTTTATGACATGCGTCTGTGTTAAATCATGAGCTGATTCGATGAGCAAACTGTCTATAAGAGGCATCATATTTGGATTAGGCATCCAATATCAGCTGCTCTATTAATAATCAGGCCCAATGAAAAATCAGCATGAGCTGAAGACCTTTTAAAGGAAGGTTCAAAACAAGGGAAACTTGAGCTTGATCTGGATTTCTCTTGTTTGTTTTATTTTTGCTTGTTGAATAAATGTTATGTTAACCTATAATAAAATTAATGTTGCTTCATTCAATTTCTAAATGATTTTAGAGATTTCTTGTATAGGTCAGCAACATAACGCACTATTGTCAGGGTCTATTTAAAGTTTTGCAAAATAAGTAAGTAAAGCAAAGAAAATGAGCATCTAAATGTACTTAAGATTTCTAGATTAAAATGTATAACTCAAAGAATAATGAATAGGAACTGTGGAACTAGGATCATGTGATAAATGTTAGAGTTAAGAAGATTTGACAATAAAAAATTCAGCTTTGCCAACCCAGGAATAAAACAACAACAACAATATATATGTATGGGTGAAGAAGTTTAAATAAATAAATAAATACATTAAAGTAAATTAATTAAGTGAGAGCATTTTGTATTCGTATTTTTATGCATGGCAAAAAATAAATAAATCAATTTTTCCACATTTTATAAATATAACCTCTCTATAAATATTCTAACAAATAAAAGTAATCAACAGTAATAAATAATACACAAGATAAAATACATAAATGATAATAATATATAAGTTAAAATCTAAAACAGGTTTTTAAGGTTTACTTTTGGTAAACTTTTTACAATTTAAAAAGTATTCACATTTAAAAATATTTTATTAAAAGTTTCATTTAAAAAAAAAAAAAAAAACGCTGCCTGATAACATAAAAAATAGGGCTTTCCACAAGAATATGTTTAACAGATTGTTTTTGTTGCAGTATTGACATTTTGGGGGTTCTTCTCCTTTGAGTAAATGTTCATGTGTCTGGTGTGTCCAATACGCCATCTTCTATAATCAATCTCATCATGTCCTGGGTTAAAAAGTATATTGGATTTTCTTCCTATTTCTGACTGAATTTCAAAAAGTTTATTTTCTGAGCACTGAGAATAAAGCATAAAGCACTTTATTAGTGGCTTTAAACTTGAAGGTGGGATTTTGCACTCCGTTATCTTTCGTCAGGGCTGTTTTGGGGACTTTGTCAGCTTGTTCATTTTCAAATAGTCCAACATGTCCTGGGATCCAGCAGAAGACTTTATTATAACATTTTCTCTGTTGTTCATTCGCTTTGATAAAAATGTCAAAAATAATGGGAAGCTCCAGCTTAAAAGAATTCAATGTTTGTAGACATGATTTGGAGTCAGAAAAAATAATACAACAGTGTTTTTTAGTATTTTCAATACATTCTAGAACCAAAAATAGAGCCTTTGCTTCAGTTGTAAAAACTGAACTTTGATCTGGAATACGAATACCAAATTAATTATTTAAAATTGCACACACACACACACACACAAAAAAATAAAATAAAAAATAAAAAATTTGCCCCAAACATTCTGAACAGATGTTCAAACACATCATAATAGTAATAACAATAATAATAATATTTTTATTAATAATTATTTAATTAATATATATATATATATAAATAATTTTTTTTGTAATAAATTGTCCCTCAAAAAAATCCAACAATTGCATTGTCATTGTGTGTGTGTGTGTGTTTATGTAAGTAAACACACGCACACATAAAAAAAAAATATTTTGCAATGAGCTGAAATAAAAACACAATTCTTGGATTTTTTTTTTGAGGGGCAACCTAATATTTTTTATACTTACATTTACATTTAGTTACTTACATTACTTACATTTGTAAAAACTAAATAGCTTACAAATACTAAGTTAACTTAATTCGTTAATGTTTTCCCAACACAAATCAATTTTTTTTTTTTACAATTTATATAAAGAGGACCAAGGAATGGGAATCTATTCAACTCAAAAAATATGTTTCTAGGAAAGACAACAATACCACACCCCCTAGAATATTCCTCAGAAAGATGTTACTTGCAAGTAGCAAAACCATTTTTCATTTGTATTTTGCACAAAGTAGCCTGTCTTCATGACTAAACTCAGCTACCAAAACATTTGTCAGTGAGTTCCCAGTGCAGCTGCAGTAACAGGGAGAGCCTTATCAATATTTTCAGAAGACCAGAGACAAACATTTAGAGGGTGTGGAGCAGAGAACAGTCCAAAGAAGGACGTCAACAGATAAAACCGGAGAGCTATAAAACCAGACACAAAACGGCGCAATTATGCATGAAAAACAGATGTGAAGTGATGTTTCTCTGGTGTGTTGTAGAAACAAAATATGATAATTTCAGCTGTAAACGTATTTTTGAGCTCACTTTAGTCCTGCTTTACTGTGCTGGACAACATGCTCTACAACGGAGAGCGTATAGCACAACACGGTTTTCTACAGGCTGTAGACAATACAGAATCACTTTTGTGTTAAAGGAATAAGCGGAGGTCAAGCTGAGGTTGCAATGTGACACTAATGCTCCTATTGCATATCACACAAAAGCAGCAGAAGAAATAATGAGGCAGATTAACTAGAGCTCATGCGGACCAACAGAGTAACACAAATCAACGTACAGACCAAGGACTGCGCTCTTTTACACTGGCCTAATATGAGAAATAAGAGCATACAGAACATGTTCAATTGCATTTTTTTAAAACTCCGGAGCTATTTTGATTGGCTTTGTTTTTTTTTAAGGAAAGCTAATACTGGTTAACTACCTCCTGCTTAAATGAAACTTTTTAAAATAATAATAATAATAAACACTTAAAAATTAAGTATTATTGTTATTGCACAGAAAATGCCTTTAAAATTCCATCTTTTATTGCATGACTATAAACAATACACTTTTCTAGTATATTTTGGCATACCATTTCTTATACAGTATCTAACAATTTTATATAATATAGCATTTTTAAAAGGAATAATAATAAAAAATATGAAAAAAAAATACAAAACAAAAACAGGCATGCATGTAAATGCATTTAACATTTTAATAAAAAGACAACAAAAATATTTTCAAGAAAAAATGATTAAATCCAAAAAATAATAGGTTAAGTTCATATCTTTAAAGTAACATGGATAAATTAATTATTTGCTAATGCTAAATAATTAAACAATATAGACAATGAATAATAATTATATATTAATGGCTGAGCCAAAAAGAAAATGAATAAATGAATATACAGTTTTATATACAGTCGGCGTCAAAACTATTAGCCCCTTTTTGATTATTTTCTTTTTAAAATATTTTCCAAATGATGTTTAACAGAGCAAGAACATTTTTCACAGTATGTCTGATAATATTTTTTCTTCTGGAAAAAGTTTTATTTGTTTTATTTAGGCTAGAATAAAAGCAGTTTTTTAATTTATTAAACACCATTTTAAGGTCAAAATTATTAGCCTCTTTGAGCTATATTTTTTGATAGTTAACAGAACAAACCATCATTATACAATAACTTGCCTAATTACCTTAACCTGCCTAGTTAACCTTGTTAACCTAGTTAAGCCTTTAAATGTCACTTTAAGCTGTATAGAAGTGTCTTGAAAAACATCTAGTAAAATATTATTAACTGTCTTCATGGCAAAGATAAAATAAATCAGTGATTAGAAATGAGTTATTAAAATTATTATGTCTAGAAATGTGTTGAAAAAAATATTCTCTCCGTTAAACAAATAAAAAAAAAATAAACAGGGGTGCTAATAATTCAGGGGGGCTAATAATTCTGACTTCAGCTGTGTATATTATATATAATTAAAAGAGCATATGTTGAATGACTAGAAAAAAAAATCACAATATAGAAAAATATAAATCATTAAATAGCACAGCATAAAAAAACAAACATTCAGTTTATAACACACACAAAAACACAGGCAGCGAGAAAAAGTATGTGAAGTGACTCACCAGCAGTGCTGTTCCTTCAACAGCCTGTGCAGAACTGAAGGACTGAGCTGAAGCTGATCTGAGAGCAGAGGGAGTTGTGCAGTTTCCTAGAGCTGCCTGAAAGTGAGAGTGTTCAGCAGACTCACTGCAGTTTAATGGACTGAAGTGAGACTCGCTCAGACCACGCTGGATTTCACATACAATACTGTGGCTCTTTTTGTGTTGCCAACAAATTTGATCACAACACGGCGGTTTGCGATGGGAAGGCTCTAATGTGACCCTTGACCTCTATCTTTCTCTGCATTGCTATTTTCTTCAGAGGGCCACTTGTGCGCTCCACAATAACCCGAGTCAGAAGAAGAAGCACATTTCGACAGGGGGAGAATAATGGCATGCCAGGGTCGCAATGTGGAGCCGCTGGGGAACCATGGGAACGAGGGCCAGCACGCCTTTAGGTTAGAAGCCCCCCCGAAAACCCCCCTCTGAAACCATATCAATACACAGAAGATGAACAGAGCGCTTAACAGGGCTGCTTATGAATAAATGCCACAGATTACCCAATATCTGTGTTTACATTCATCTACTTTTATGCACATTTTAGGATATTGTATGAAAAAATTCTGAACGGAAACAATAGGATGTGCAAAAATTATAGAATTGTCAAATAAAAAAAATGTAATTGTACACATTTTTAATCCAGTAAAAATATATGCGCATAAATTAGAATGAAAGCACAAATCCTCTCATGCACTTCAATTTTTTTTTAATTCAGATTTTGCCTCAACATACAGAATAACCGGTGAATTGATCTCATCTCACATTATCTCAATTTATGTATCATTGAATCATTTTTCTGAAGTTAAAGAACCACAATACACTTTATTAAAAGCATTAGCATCTGTTTTTGCAGAGGTTGATATTAATGCATGCCTGCGTTTTCTTTGAAATTATAGCCTCAAAATACAACCCAATACATCTCTGTAAGTCTTTGTCGAGTTCAATTATTTAGCCTAAATTTTATCTACAACAGAGAGAATAATATACTAAATAATAATATGATGTATTGAATAATATGATATATTATTTATATATTTTTCAACTATTATATATAAATCACCTTTTTCTTATTACTACTTCTATTTACTGTGTTTTATTATAAGTTGGTTTTCATGTGTAAATTTTATAAATGCTTTGGCAACACGTTTGTAACATTTGGCATGCCAATAAAACAATTATTGAATTGAATTTAAAAGAGAGAGGCGACGTGGTGGCGCAGTAGGTAGTGGGTGCTCCGGTTTCTTCCACAGTGCAAAGACATGCGCTACAGGTGAATTGGGTAAAATAAATTGTCCGTAGTGTATGTGTGTGAATGAGTGTGTGTGGATGTTTCCTGGAGATGGGTTGCAGCTGGAAGGGCATCCGCTGCATAAAACATGTGCTGGAAAAGTTGGCAGTTCATTCTGCTGTGGTGACCCCAGATTAATGAAGGGACTAAGCCGAAAAGAAATGAATGAACGAAATGAAAGAAAGAGAGAGAGAGAGAGAGAGAGAGAGAGAGAGAGAGAGAGAGAGAGAGAGAGAGAGAGAGAGAGAGAGAGAGAGAGAGAGATAAAGAGAGAGAGGAGGCTGCACGAGCAGGGCCCATTATTATTCACAACCCTTCCAATTATGGTCAATATGGAACTTTTGATTCTAGGGATATTTTATGTGAAATAAATGAGCACACAACAGTTTATAAAAAACCCACATACCTACTATTGTATGTAGGCATCAGAGAATAATTTAACTTAAATTTAAACACTATTTAAGATATCAAAACAGGGCTTCTAGTAGTACCCAGAATAGCAAAGTCTACTAAAGGAGGTCGAGCCTTCTCATTTATGGGTCCTAAACTCTAGAATAGCCTTCCTGATAATGTCTGAGGCTCAAAAAACTCTCTGTTTAAGACCTATCTTTTTAGTAAAGCATATACACAATGCTTTACATAACAGTATGATGCATGAGTGTTTTCTACGTAGGTGAGTGGGCTTGACAAACCACCCCTTAGAACACACTCCTCCTGTCTTAATGCACTCGACATTTTTTTAGAAATACTCATATCCTTTGCGTGTTTGTTTATATAACTACTATTTTTATTTATAGCACTTCATTTTTGCATTTCGTGTTTAAATACACTATGAACAGCAGCTACGCTAAGTGTTTTTTATTTCTACCAGTAAAAACTCGAGGCCTCTAGAGATCATGCAGCCCCATTGATGCGATCCAAGACCTGTGCAAAATTGATGCCAAAGTATCCAAAGACCTGGAGCGTGCAGTTTCCTGCGCAGAAGCTGTGGCGGTCATGGAGGAGCAAAGAGCATGAGACACCCACAGGTGACCTACTCACACCTGCAGTTTCTCCAAGATGGATTTCCAGCGTTCTCCAGCCTCCAATGCCTAGACTGCAGGTCTGCACAGGAAGTTTTGTCCAGAGGAAAAATGGTGGTGTCCAACTGAGCCTGGTCTCTTCCTTTACTTTCGTCACTTTGTGAAGTTTTGTTCCTCACTTGGTTTGGGACTTGTGGAGCTGCACATCGATGGATTTGCTCTTCAGTGTTTGGACTTTCAGCAGTGACAAATAAACTACAGTGAAGCGAACTAAACTGAACTTCAACTTTGAAATCTGGACTGACACAGTTTAAATTTACTAGAGCTTCTATGTTAAGCTGCTTTGACATTGTCTTTATTGTAAAAGCGCTATAGAAATAAACATGAATTTAATTGAATTATAGAAAAAAAGCAGCACCTTTAAAGCCTCCTGTTTCAGTTTGATATTTCAGTTTAGTAAATTGGCAATTTGGAATGAAAATGCTGTAAACATGAACTGTGGAAAGGCCAGACAGAAGAGGCCCCTTGGAACTCAGAGCCAAAATGGAGGCCCTTGTTTGTCGGATCCCCGCTGTGGACCATCATAACTGAAGCAAAAATAAGGGCATGTGATGTTCAGACAGATGTGGAGCCGCGAGCGAACAGCAAGAGCAATAATCTGTCTTTCATTCTGCGACTTCACAGCTGTGCGGGACACACATCATCTCTTTTTCTTCTGTTTGGGCCCTGTCTTCAACGATATGCTAATATAGTTCACTGCACTGAATGAGCCCACTATCTAGTCGGCTCTATTCTACAAGAATGGAGCCAAATAATACAGTGCCAAGTCTTAATTGGGACGTCTCCAAGCCACATTATATGCCGTCCCTCGAGACGTTGTTGCCCCAGGGCGAAACACGAGAAGAACTAGTCTTGTGTCACATTTAAGAGCTCAAACAGTCTGCCTTTAAAACATGATAAAGTGACGCAAGTAGAAGGTTTATCACTAACACCCAACAGACAGTGATGTACAATGATGTCTTATACAGGCTTGATGCTGATCATTTGGTTTGTTTAATATATATATTTTAATTTTAATATTTTATATATATATTTTATATATATATATATATATATGTTTTCTTTTCTTTTAGTTTTCTTTTTTTTCTTTTTTAGTTACTGAATGCCCACGTTCCAAATTAAATAAAATGATCTCAAGTGAAAATTTGATTTTGGTATAAATTCCACAAATTATGTGATAGATTAATCAATATAAGTATAGTCAATAGTGTCAGCCCTAAAGTTCATTTTTAACTTGTATTAACTTCAAAAATACTGTAACTTTTCCATGATTGTTAGTTAAATAATATTTTTTTTTCATGTGATGACTGCGTGTTAACTTGTTAAAGAAAAACAAAAACTAAATGTCAATTTAATTTAATAATACAAAATAAATATTTACAGTTAACACTTGCACAACATACAGTAGTTACATAAAAATGTGAACGGCCAAGGACAGAAAAGAAGCAAAGTGGTAGTAACATTTATCATTATCATTATTATTTTAAGTCAAAATATTCTAATATTAAACAATAAATGCCTGAAAACAAACTAAATGGCATATAAAGTTACAAATCTTTCATTTGACCAAATGAAAAATAAAACATGACAGATTAAAATTTTTAAAAATCTATTTGAATAAAGTAAACTTTGGAAGCGGGTTAAGTAATTTTACAGTTCGCAAATTTTTAATTCAGTAGGTAAACTGCATTATGCAGATGTTAGTATGATTTACAACTAACTTTACATCAACAATATTCACTTATTCTCTGCATATGAGCGGGCGCAGCCCGACTTCCGGTCTCATTCTTTTCCATTCATTTTTAGACGCTAAAAACAACTCATTATGCTGCTTGATGTTGCAAACTGATATTTTCTTATTATATGATTCTATTTTGACTGTATAGTAATGGACATGCTTGTTTGTAGAGTGAGTGGTTTGACTGTTTTCTGCAGTTTATTATTCCTTGTCATTTCTCCCATAGGGAGCTGAATCGGAAATTCTAAAACAATCGCAAAAACGAGCGCACTTCTGCATTGAAGAATAAGATCAATAAACAAATACTGAAAAATAATGCCAAATGCAAAATAGCAAAATGGCTATCTTTTATCCAGATGTTAAAATAGGATTCAAATCCCTCCCATTTTGAGGCCCACTGCAAAGTGACATAAGAGTGCAATTTCCCCACTCACCAAATTGATTGACAGTCATGTATTTACATGTCTCTGTAGTAACGCGTATAATCATATCAACAAGACAGAATGTGCCCAAAGCAACTGGGATTAAAAGATCTGTTCAGCTCTCTGTGATCATCAGTCATCATCAAATGTGATCAATAAAAAGTTTTACAAGTTTAAAATGGTTTAAAAACATGCATGTTTGTAATCAATTACAGTGATTTTACCACCTTTACTTTATCACCACAGCTGCGTGTCAGTATAATTATAAAAGACGATGCTTTGTGGACGTTAAATCAGGTTTATTTTGTACATTAACATAATGGATATCCATACAGCAGTGGATATTAACATGTAGCCTGTCACATTTGCATGCAAAAACAGTGCAAAGTTAAATGCATACTGTGTGTGTATGTGTCTGTGTGTGCGTGCGTGCGTAAACTTTGTAAAGACCTTGTGTGTGACTTATCGTTCTTAGACTTTACTTTACAACAAATACATCAGATTATCATTGGTAAAGGTCTTACTGTAGCATTTTTTACAAATGTTACATGAGATTTGCTTTCTTCATGTCTGTCACTGTGCTGTTTATCTGATGCAGCCAAGGTGGAGATTGAGGCACACTCTGACAGGCATGTGGGAACGGTGGGCGGAGAGAAACAGCATTAAAGGCACAGGCCACAAAAACAGCTACAATGTGTTTAGAGCAAAAAATTCCAATATTCTTAAAGGTATAATAAATAATCTGATGGGTGTTTTGAGCTGAAACTTTACAGACACATTCCGGAGACACAAAATATAATGTATTTGCCAAAATCAGTTTAAAAAGAATTAGTCAGTCCTAAAGTAGAACATGAATATATGAGGGCTAACGTTTTGTTGACCAGATACAAAGTTGGTTGCTTAACTGTCTGGAAACTTACAACAAGTTTCTACAGAATACCTACAAATTAGACAAATTTAGCATCCACAGTATCTTACCTCAGTAGTTGCAGACTTGTTTCTGGACACGGCACTTAAAATGTCCCCCACTTTATAAGGTGAATGAAAATGAAGCAAAGGTTCCAATTCAGTATGCATGCACAAAATGTCACAAGCAAAGACAGCACAAAATATGCATAATGTATTTGCAATTTAACCAAAATTATCATTCATTAATTAATTAATTCATTCATTCATTTTCTTTTCGGCTTATTCCCTGTATTATTCTGAATTCACCACAGTGGAATGAACCGACAAACTTATCCAGCATATGTTTTACGCAGCGGATGCCCTTTCAGCTGCAACCCATCTCTGGGAAACACCTATACACTCTTATTCACACACATACACTACGGCCAAATTTAACTTACCCTAATTCACCTGTACCGCATGTCTTTGGACTTGTGGGGGAAACTGGGGCACTTGGAGGAAACCCACGCTAACACTGGGAGAACATGCAATCTTCACACAGAAATGCGAACTGACAGAGCCGAGGCTCAAACCAGCCACCTTCTTGCTGTGAGGCGACAGTGCTACCTACTGCGCCACTGTGGTGCCCAAAAATGGTCAACGAAGACAAATTTTAAAAAATGCTATGCACATTTCCACGACTTTTCCAAAACGTTGTAGATTCATTTGTTTTTACAAAACATGCCAGCCCTCGAAATTTGCATTTCAAAAGTACTTTTTCATGACTGTATACAAATGGTTATAGTCATTTATTTAACAGTGTTACTTAGAATTCATCACAAATGGGATTTGATGACTATAATACTTTATTAGTTTTGAAAACATGGATTTAAGATTGTCTTAAGAAGAAAAATAAAAAGATTGGCATTACACATTTTTGCAAGATGCAAAAAAAAAAAATTTAACAATGCATGTCTAACAAACATTTTTTGCAGTCTGGCAAACAATTATGCAGTCTGTTTTATCATATATAAACCTATATATATGTGTGTGTGTGTGTGTGTGTGTGTGTGTGTGTGTGTGTGTGTGTGTGTTTGTGTGTTGAAATAACAGCACTGTACATTCTTTTTTCTTTAGTCAAAGGTTTGATTTCGTCTTTGTCCTCTCCTCTCATTAAGGTACATGTTGACGTAGGAAGTCAGCAAGTCATCCATTTTATAGCCCTTGTGAAAACAGGATAAAACCGTTATTTTAAAACTAGAAAAAAAAAGTTTTATTAAAATTCTTTAATTGCTGTAATCTTGTTTTTTCATTCAAATAAAATTAATTTTGTTTCAACATAATAATTTTAGTTAATTTCTTTTTTTGTTAATTTTAATAATTCATTTGTATATACAGTTGAAGTCAGAATTATTAGCCCTCCTGAATTATTAGCCACCTGTTATTTCCTTGCTCTGTTAAACATCATTTGGAAAATATTTAAAAAAGAAAAAAAATTCAAAGGGGGGCTGATAATTCTGACTTGAACTCTGTGTATATATATATATATATATATATATATATATATATATATATTATACAGTACAGTTAAAGTCAGAATTATTATCCCGCCTGAATTCTTAGCTTTTATTATTTCTAAACATAATTTTAATAACTCATTTCTAATAACTGTTTTATTTTATCTTTGCCATGAAGACAGTACATAATATTCGACTAGATATTTTTCAAGACACTTCTATACAGCTTAAAGTGACATTTAAAGGCTTAACTAGTTTAATTAGGTTACCTAGGCAGGTTAGGATAATTAGGCAAGTTATTGTATAATGATGGCTTGTTCTGTAGACTATCGAAAAAAATATAGCTTAAAGGGGCTAATAATTTTGACCTTAAAATTATTATTTTTTTAAAATAAAAACTGCTTTTATTCTATAGCCACAATGAAACAAATAAGACTAAAATTAAAAATATTATAAAAAAATTATAAAAATTTATAATATTAAAAATATTATCAGATATACTGTGAAAATTTCCTTGCTCTGTTAAACAGAATTTGGAAAATATTTTAAAAAGAAACAACAATTCAAAGGGGGGCTAATGATCCTGACTTCAACTATATATATATATATACACACACTACTGATCAAAAGTTTTAGAATAGTAAAGTTTTTTTTTGTTTGTTTTTTTAAAGATGTCTGTTTTGCTCACCAATTCTGCATTGATTCAAAATACAGTGAAAACAGAAAGTTTTAAACATTTTTACTATTTAAATAACTGCTTTCTTTTCTAATATATTTTCAAATGCTTAAAATTGATCAAAAGTTCTGATAAAGACATGCATACTGTCACACAAGATTCCCATTTCAGATAAATGCTGCTTTTGAGCAGCAAATCAGAATATTAGAATGACTGCAAGTGACTGGAGTGATATTGCTAAACATTCAGCTTTGAAATCACAGAAGAAAATATATTTTTTAAAATTGATTCAAACAGAAAATGCAGTTAACTAGTGTGTATATATGATTTTAAAATTGTGCAGTTTTCACTATACTTTGGAACAAATAAATGCAGGCCTTCATTTATTTATTTTATTTAGTGATTTCTTATTACTTTTAGTGCTGGATTTTGGAGAAAGTAGCACCTACTGTATGTCACTTACCAAGGAAGTTTCGCAGAGGATTTTGTTGCCTTTGACAAGGTTCCCTACAGTCATGTGGAAGTATGTGCTTCCACTGCACCAGTTTGCAATCTTGTTATATGGATGAATGGCTAGAGCATCCTTAAATAGAACAATTTAATTAGTTCAACCAATCAAACTTAGACAAACATTATGAAGTTATGATACACAAAGCATATTTTAAACAATGAAATTTTACATTCAAGCGTAGAGGAACACCTGAAAACAAATCTAAGCATCTAACAAAATATGAATTGACGATACCTTTGTTTTGGGATTAATGATGGTGATGCCTTGCTTACTGATGGCCATCCTCACAATGTCCGGGAAATTGGGCTCTGACGTTTGCTGTAATTTCAAGCATAATCTTATAAACCATTTGTCAAGTAACAATACCTAAAATATAACAGTCGAGTTGTTTACTTTGACATCAAAAAAGGCACATCCAAATGTGGGCCATTTATAGACAATCTTCAAAAAGCCGATCATTGCCTCTTCCACAGTCATGCCCGTTTGCTTGTTGTACTCTGCAAAAATGCTCTGTTGACAAGTTTTTGAGTACAAAACCACTTTAGAAGGGTATAGTTACATATACACTGCAATATCTCCAGTGTGCAGAAACTGACCTTCTTCCACTCATCAGCAGACAGGGCTTTAAGCTGGTCATTTGGCACCAGATCCTTCAGCATCTTAGGAATCATGGGAAACTGAGTTTTATCATTGTTCACCTTCACCCTGAAGAGGAGTGCGCCGAGCATCACCATTTCTTCTTTTGTACAACGATGATAACCTCTCAAGTATTTCGGCAACTCCTAGATGATGTGAAAAAAATGGGGAAAATGTAACAATAGTATTAAAAAGAATTCATGATTGTATATATGGGATTAAATTGCCCATAAAAAACAGAAGGGGGAAAATAATATTAAATTTTAAAGGATGGGTCACCCAAAAATGTCAATTATGTCATCATTTACTCAACTGTTACTTCTTTCTTTTTTCTGTTGAACTCAAAAGAAGATATTTTGAAGAAAGCTGGAAACCTTACAGTCAAACATTGACTTCCATAGTATTTGTTTTTCCTATGGAAGTCAATGGTTACTGGATTTTCACAAAATATCTTCTTTTTTTCTAAGTAAAATAGTAAATGGTGAACAGTAATCGAAACAGTAATAATAAATAGTAAGTACATTTTAATTTTGGCGTAAAAGATCCTTTTAAATCTACTTTTTCATGTACTGATTTATACAGAATGCTATTTATTATTCTGATAATAAAAGCTGAATTTACAGACTTCCTTAATAATGAAGTCTGCACTGCACGCTTGCGGTTTTAAAAGTTTTGGTGAATTAATCTAGGTAAAGATATCATTCAGAAGGTCATGATTCGCACTCACTAAATAATTACTTTATATCTTTATAGCTTTACTTTACATTCTTGAAAGATACAAAAAACAGACAATTCGGAACAATGTCTTCCTCAGTGCATGAAAAATCTTCACAGGCCACCCTTCTATCCCACAGTCAATCAGATTATGTATTAGTTATACTAAATAGTTAAAAACTATCTCATTTTTGTTTCAATATACTGTAGTTAACCACACAAGAAATATTTTCTTTACCAATGTACTGGAAAGTAACAGATAAGTTATCGGTAACACTTTACAATAAGGTTCACTAGTTAATGCATTTACTAACATGAACTAATCATGAACAACACATGTACAGCATTTATTAATCATGATTGAACATTTACTAATGCATTATTAACATCCAAGTCCATGGTTATTACCATTAGTTAATGCACCATGAGTTAACAAACTAACAATGAACCACTGTATTTTCATTAACTAACATAAATTAACATGAACAAATACAGTAGTAAATGTATTGTTCATTGTTTGTTTAAGTTAGTAAATACAATAATTAACATTAACTAATGAACCTTATTGTAAAGTGTGAACAAGTTATCATCATTCACTTATTCAGATCTTTGTCAATGAAATTCCTACAGTCTAAAATTTTCAGAATTCTTCAAAGCCACAGTAATTTAGAAATCAATGCAATATGCTGATTTGATGCTCAAGTCCAAATTTTCATTATTGACAGCTATGCACCTTAATAGTTCTGTGAACCCCATTTGTATCAACGTTCTTTAATTAATAGAAAGAGGGAATATTATATATATATTTGTATTATATAATTGTGTGTATGTAACAATCTGGAGTAATATGCATGTCTTCAATGTTATATTTCATCAACTTAACAAAATGGTCTTCTTCGAGATGAGTGTAGATATTTTTGGAAAGCTTACATGGGGATTTTACCATACATTTCAGTACCTGTGGGTAATGGAAGATGAGATCTGCCTCCACATCTCTCCCAGGGATAATGTTGAACCATAGCTTCCTCATAAAGAAAACAGTGTAGGACACATTCACTGGAGCCCCTGCTGTTTAAAACAGTATCAGCAATGTCAACTGCTTTGAATTTAAGTTCAAACCTGTTCTATTTAAAAGAAAACAAACAGACTCACCTTGATTCACTCTCTTTGCTCTTTTGGACCAATCAGTAATCTGTCTGAGGCTGTCAAAGAAGTAGTCTGTTTCGTTCAAACTCAGAACCTGACAAATAGAAAATGGCAGAACAGTTATTAATGATCATTCAGGGTTCTCACTTAAGTCAAGTCAAAAGTAAAAAAAAAAAGAAAAGCTGAATTTACATGGTCTAAAAAGAATAGAAAAATAAGTAAGTATTTTTGAGAAGTCCTTCCTAAATTTTGCTATTCTGTGATGCTGAATTTAACACAAAACCAAGCAAATGACACAAAATTTAGATGAGCTTGCAATATTATTAAGATTAGATTTCTGGCACATTTTGGCCTTTCAGGACACATTATGTTTGGTTTATAAAGTGCTTATTCAATGTGCAACAATGTCTGAGTTGTCTTACAAATGAGCAGTCGTGCATCTACAAAAGCCACTACATGCTATTAGGCAATATTCCAGTTTTGAGCATTTTGCGTCTTTGTAAAAAATGAGTATAATTTATTAGTATAATAAAACATGATTTTTCTAATAGTATTGTTAAAGAGATTTTAACCATTTAGTTTACCCTGATTACTTTAAGTAATTTGTGCATCAAATAGGATTTTTTTTAAATGGTTAAGAGGTCAATTGAGACCAATGATTCTTGAGATCAGAATAATATTCATAATACAAATATAAAATGAATTATAGACAAATAATACACATTTCCCAGACTTTCAATGTCTGGAATACCCCTTTTCCCACAATATTCCAGAAACTGTTCATTAATAGAAGCACACAGTCCTGGCTGTTAAATATAAATCATGGTAGACTAGGAACAAACCTTATCAGGAGTTTTCATGAAGAGGCTGAAACCTTCAGCTGTGGACAACATGAGTTTATTAGCAATGGTCCGGACCAGGTCTCTGATCTTAGTATTGGTTGCCACCTCAAATATCTGTCCAGAAGGGTAAGTAGTAAAAAAAGCAAAGTTTAGAATAAACAAAGAGTTACAATGGTATCAAATCCAACTGCTATTATTTTCAGCATTTTGAACACTAGAGAGTAGATAAAAAGCACTAGCGCCAAGCTGAAAAACAAAAATCTAAAACATGGCCATTGGGCAAAAAAGATCAAAATGAAATCCTGGTATATTACTGTAAAATGACAAGACTGGCTCTCCTGGTAATATTCACACATCAGTACCAAAATACTGGTGGCATATTATTGCCAAATTTCAGTTACTATAAATACTGCAGTTAATGCAGACTATATATAGTATGGAATAGAAACTGCGGAGCTGCAGCAGTGCTCATTGGAAAAGAAAACAGAATCTTTGGGAGCTGCTTGAAACTAAAATGAGCAGGATGTTAGTTATAAAAAAAAATCAGCAGCCCTTACACAGCCCTGAACACAGCAGAACTTCATGAATGGTCCAAAGCAGACTTCTTACCTCATGCATGTTCTGCCCTCGTGCTTGCTTATACCAGTAATCTTGCTCTTTTACCAGATTATTTGTTTTGCAAAGCCCTTGTTCACACATGAAATCTTAAGAGTAATTTAACAGTTAAGACTAGGTGATAAAGCTTATGAGACAAAACCCTAGACCACCAGACAGAATGGTCACTTTCCATTTTGACTCAGTGCCGTGTTGCGACTGAACAAGTAAAATTTTTACACATCCACTTTTTATGATTTATAAAATATATTTTCCCTCTATTCCACAAATAACACCAATGTAGTTGTGTTTATATGGCTTACACAGAAAATGACTTGTGACAGTTTTGAAAATATCAATGAGCTGCTGAACACTGCAAATAATCAATAAGTCAGACATTCTGAGAGAATATTGGCTTTACAGCAAAAAATGGTTTCTGAACTTTTGGAGTTACTTTAAAGGTGATAATTTCTAGCTTGCTGCAATATCATTTTAATTAGATATATTTGTTTTCAATAACAGTTTTACCAAACACTTAGTATGATAAATGTAAAATGTAATGATGAGGATAAACAAAAACAATTTACCAAAACCGCCCACTGAAGCTAAGCAGGGCTGCACTTGGTCAGTATCTGGATGGGTGACCACATGGGAAAGCTAGGTTGCAGCCAGAAATTATGTTAGTGAGACCAGAAATGGAAGCTCAACCTGCGGTCTGTGTGGGTCCTAATGCCTAAGTATATTGATGGGGACTCTACTGCTCAGTGAGCTCCGTCTTTTGGATGAGATGACAAACCAAGGTCCTGACTCTATCTGGTCATTAAAAATCCCAGTATGTCCAAAAAAAGAGTAGGCCTCCTAACCATCCCCATATAATAATTGGCTTAATCACACTGCCTCCTCTCCACCAATCAGCTGGTGAGTGGTGTGCAGTCTGGCATAATATGGCTGCTGTCGCATCATCCAAGTGTATGCTGCACATTGGTGGTGGATGAGGAGATTCACCCCAAAAATGTGTAAGGGCTTTTAGTGTCGAGAAAAGAGTTATATAAATGTAATTGTTATTGCAATTATTATTATTATTATTATTATTATTATTATTATTATTATAAGATCCCAGTGTAAATGTTAGTACACCCAAATGTATAGTTGGGGGAACATTTTATATTACATTTTAACAAAGAAGGAAAAATCAAGAGAATCATAAAAAATTACTTATAATAAATTTGAATTCTTTTTTTCAAAATTAAAATTGTCCTAAGACAAGAATGGATGTTATTCAATTGCTTAGAACAACTTTAATGAAAGGTGAGGATGGATCTAATCCAAATGTTGGGCATATGCACAAAGATACACACATATATTATTATTATTATTTTATTTGTTCAATTATTGCTGTTTTTTTTTTTTTATATACATTAACTCCTTTTTTTGCCTTAAACTCTTATTTTACTGATTATTGTAGTTAGTAAGGTTGTAGTCAATTTTAAGTATTGGGTGCAATTAGGCAAGTAGAATATGAACATGTAAAATATGTACTTTAAAAGAACTAGTAAACAGCTAACAGGTAAATAATAGTTATACTAAGCACTACTTAATAGTTAGAACTGCCCCCTATACTAAAGGTTACAAATTTATAATTCAGAGTAGGCCTGTGACCTTTTTCTATGCATTTTTTTATTATTAGACGTTAGGGTGCAAGGCTGGGTTACATATTGTATTAAGGCCACTGATAATGCTGGTAATTAGTGTGCAAGTGTGGTTTTACCTCTTGGGAGTCATTTGGGAAGTAAATTTTGTGGAAGATCTGGGTGCTGTTCTGCTGAATAGCATCAACCTCAACCTGGTGAGGTGGAAGTTTTCTGGGATCCATTCTAGGACAGAAACAACGACAATTTCCAGAGTAAATTCAGTAAACATAATATGCTTGTTTTATTTTCCCACCAAATCAACAATGTAGCTACTTATCATCTGTGACCCAGCTTGTGGACTCAGTTCAACTGTTGGGCTACAGTAGTGTTTCCCAAATGTTGAAGTCTTTGAACAGTTGCAGTGGCAGATAAAGCTGCTGTAAAGTCATTACTATCCCATCACTCAGCAGCACTGATACTTTCCTGGCATTTGCTCCAGTCTGGCAAAGGCTAGCGCGTGCTAATAAAAGAAGAGGTGTCACTGTGCTAATAGGCTTGCAGATTGTTATTTTAAAAGACTAAATTACTAATACCCCAAACTAATCATTCTTAATTAAGTGATGTTATCTATGATAAGTGGCTTTCGTATCGCCAAAAATATTTCAATTGCTCGTTTTTACAAGCTGACCTGCTAGCAAATGCTAATGTGTTGCTGATCAGGTCAGACTTTACAGGATATCAGTCAAGTAATGTAACACACATGTTGTTTGAGATGAACTCAATAAGATTATGGCTCTCAGTTAAGCCAGCCAAAGTTCAATAGTATAAACAATACAAGCTATTGCCCATACGCATTTTAAAGGTGATTAAATGTTAGCTTTTAGATCCTAGATGCTAGAACTGACATTGGGAATGTATAATCAGCTAATTTTAACTATAAAATCTTTTCATTCATTGCATTTCTCCTTATTTTGTTGACTTAATGTTGCGTTTTCACTGTCACACATGACAACAATTATTCATTTAAAATGCAGTAAACATTTATTGTATTAACCTCTTGATATTAAAAACTGTTGTCTTATTGTTATTATTATTATTTTTAATTTTTGAGTCAAACCTCAAAACTGACTGTCTCAAATCACAGCTCTTATAAATGAAGACACAAATTGTAAAATCATTAATAAATACCTCAGAACTAATTTTGCAAGTGGTTTTTTTAGTAAATGACAATATGTTTTAAAATATGATTCTAAAAGCATAGAAATTTGAAACATATTGTCAACAAAATATGTTATGTCCCTTTGATCTATTAATTAAACTTTGGGAAGTGTTCTGTATTCTCTACAAGAAGCAGCTAATTGCTCCTTGGCTTGGTCTTGCTCTGCTCCAATTGATGCCACACCCTGGCTGGTCAGCTAACTTATTGCTGCCTATAAAATCTGTCTATAAGTTCTTTGTCACTTCCTATTTAGCTGTTTTGATCTCACTTGTGTTTGGTAATGATGTGTTGACTTTCATAGAAAGAAACTGTGTGTTAGTGAGACTTAATGAATTAGAGTTTGTGTATTCATCTGAGGAAAATCTGTCACAGCATTTAGTGCATTTGCTCTCGCTACGTTACATTGAAAATCTGACTTCTGCCTATTAACTGACTACTCTGCTGTTTTGGATTTATTCGCTGAATCTAAATCTAGAGAGGTTGCCTCCATTTTCTTTTGTACATTTTCTATTGGTTGTTCTTGTGGACAATGTAGTTAGGTAAAAAAAAGTGTATTTTATTTTTTCTCTTACTGAAAATAGGGAAGTTAGAGGGAATTTGAGCGTTGATTGTTTTGTTTATTATTTTGGCCTGGTTAACTCTTGAAGTTGAGAAGGATAAATGCTGTTTATGAGAAAATCATTGTGTAAATAAAATCTCTATATTTTCTTAAGCAGCGTTATGTGTGCAGTCTTTCCTTTTATGTTACATTCTTACCCCTAGTGAGAAAAACCATTTCATCTGGTGTGACACTATATGCTGATTTTAAATCAGCAAATCGAAAGAAAACATCAATTAGTTGTAAGACCCCATTCAAGATTGTATAACCAAAGCCCATGACTTGCTGTACCTATTAATTTATTTTTATTTTTTTTAGAATTTATCAAACCTTTTTGTAACCACTATAAAAAAAAATTTGTATTTTGGTCTGACACCTATTTATCATTTATAAGTCATGGAGAAAAAACAAAAAAACAAAAACGTATTATTATATTATTCATAATTTCATTTAAATTAAATAGACCTATATGAAGATTAGAGTCCAACAATGAAGATAAATCATGCTATTTTATATTACTAAGACTTATTTTTCTTAATTTTTGCTATTTCACACCTTACAATGTATTTAAGGTTCAGTTCAGTAAAAAAAAGACAGTGAAACACAATTTTAACGATCTAGGCGCAAAGTCTAAAGCTCATAACACAAAAGCAATAAGGACGTGTCCGAATCCACTTTTTCTATTTTAAGATCAGAAATATATGTGGCGCAACGTTTAACAGGGTTGAGCTTATTCTTCTTAGTGGTTATGGGTGTGTTCTGAGAATAAACCAATCAAAGTTTCATTTCCAATTCCCTTTAAGAGTCATTTGCGTCACGGCATGGTGCATTTGCTATTTACATGGCGGACTTTGTAAGTGGAAAAATTTAACACTTCAATAGTGAGAAAACAGTTCAACAGACCATCAGCAGTGTGAGGATAAAGAATGACACTCTTCCAATCTGCCTTTACTTTCACTTTTACTTTCACTTGCTCTCATTCGTGAATAAGAAAACAGAGTTTTAGGCTACATCCATTAGCCTACATATTTAATTTCATTTGTTAAGCACAACGATTTGTTTCAAAATAATTTTTTTAATTCAGTTCTAATTTCCAGCAAACAAATCAATTAACAATAATAATGAAGTGGGGTTAAAAAAATATACAAACATATGAAATATATGAGTTATATACAAACTCAAACGCTATGGCCCATATGGTCCAAAACCTGACAGGTGGACAAATCTAAGCTTGTTTTCAATAAAACAAATATAAATATGTATATAATAAATTATAGTAATAATAATAATAATATTATATAAAAGAAAGTTGTCATGAATAAACAAAAAAAAAAGCAAACCGAGAAGGAGAAGGCATGAAGGCAGTGGTTTTAAACTTATGTAGAAAGTAATAGTTTTTGTAATATTTTATTCCTTTATTTCTTTTTCATTTGTAAAGATATTTGTGTGTTGATGTACATCCTACATGTTTTAAGCAATGTGTGAGGCGTGCAACTAACGCGCCCTGCTGGACTTTGGACCTCCTCTCGGCTGGTCTATTGTGCAGTCTATTTTAGTTCCTCAAAAAAGCAACGTGCCAACAATGCACCTTAACACACCTCTTTTCTAGAGCGAAACACCCATGAGTCCACAAAGTGGTGCAAATGAATTTGCTATTTAAAAAAAGTGGTGGAAAACGTGAAAATTAATGTTGCGTTGAACTGAAATTAGCAACACTGAGGGGCAACACATTTTGCGACTTATTGCGCCGGGTTTATAATAGGGCTTTGTTTCTCAAATATCAGACTATTTGTCAAACTACATAAATATATATCAAAATGGTGTTTTATAAAGCATTTCACTGCCTATTTATCAACTACTCATTTATAACGCGATGTGATCTCATGTGTGATGCTGGTTTGATGAAGTTTGAGTTGAAATAAACTGTGGTTAAACTGTGTAAAATGGTGGCCATACCTGCGAGCCCCCTGCAGTCTCTGAAGGCAGTCAGTGGCCAATGGCTCTCGTTTGCGTGTCTCAATGAAACGCTGAGCGTGTTTCATTAGAGAGTTACTGGGAGGGAAAAGACCACAGCAAAGCCACAGCAGCTGCCAGCCTTGCTCTATACTGTACCTGATTGAGAAAGAACACGCAGAAGTGTCAAATGATCATTTTTTCTTAGAAATTAATATTAAGTGATAAGATATTAAGTTGCACTATACAGATGTGAATACAACTGAATACAACAGAGCTGATGGTGAAAGGTACAGTATGTATTGACCTTATTCTTGAAGTATGAGTGGGCTCAGTCATTGGAATCTGTTTGGCTCAAAACTTCTGATTTCATTTAATTCCATTTAATTTTTCAGATGTTAAAAAACGTCTTTTTTTGCTGTTTGATGTCGCAAACCGATATTTTCTTATTATATTATTATACTTTTTATATCTAGTCATAAATACACTTGTTTATAGAGCAAGTAGTTTGACCGTTTTCTGCTGTTTATTATTCCTAATCATTTATTTCAAAGACTGAATCGAAAGTTTTAAAATAATGGCAAAAAAATACAAGGGCAATTCCACATTGAAGAATAAGGTTAATAGGTTATTCTAAATTGCTAGATGTAAATAAGTTAAATGTCATCCTTCTGCAAGAAAGATATTAAACATCAAACAGAGTTTAAATAAAAAAATAAAATCTCATACTGACTATTTCAGGCTATTTCTCTCCTACTTTTTTAAACAATTAGGGTTGCTGACCTGAAACTTTACCATGTCTTTTTCTGAACTGTGCATTAGCTTATGTCATTTCACAGTAACAACAAACTGGCATCTAAAACTGAAATTCACATTGTAAGAGGAAACTTCTTGGAATTTTAACCATTTAGTGGTGTTGTAAAGCTTTTAGACAGAAAAGAGCCACCTACAGTATATTGAATACAGTATAATGATTAGGGAAGCATTAGCAGGAAATATGGTTAGATGTGGGGGAAAAACAAGTAAAGTGCATTGCTCTTAAATACTAATAATTCTTCAAACTTAATTCTTAAACCATTATTGATAAAACTTACAAAATAATGATTATTAATATTATTAATTTAACTTAAAGCATAAAGGAGCTAAAGGTTGCACATGGTTGCACACTGTTATAAAGGGCAAGATGACTTTGGTTCAACTACAGTCCCAAAAGGAAAACTGCACAGAATTATTGTGCAATTGTGTCTGTCAACACTTTGTACCAAGTTCATAAGTAATAATGATTTCAACAGATGTACCACTTTAATTTGCAGTTTGCATTTACACAATCATTTAAAAACTGGGGGTGAGTAAGTTTATTTATTTGTATTTTTGTAGCTAGATTGAACTTTCCAATTATTAATAAGCCCTGACAAAATATACATCGCAGCTTTCGCAAAAACATTGGCTTTGAAACAACTTTGAAAATGACAAGAAACATTTCATAATCATAGAATCAGCACATTAAACTGATTTAAAGTAGTGCAAACTCATCTTTGTCATTACATTAATTTCAAAGCAATTTGAAACTGTAATAATATTTATGTATATGTAATAATAATGTTTTACAGCATTTTTTATTAAGTAACCGCACCCTTGTCTGAAAAGTACAAGAGACTACTCCCAAAAACTCTTTTGAAAGGAAAACAAACTTGAAAAGCTTGAATAGTAGCATATGACATTAAAGCAAGTAATATGCTGTTTACCGGTTGTTATTGCTGGTCATTTGCTTCATGATCTGGCAGTAGATCTCATCTCGGAGCTCCTCATTTTGTGTAGGTGGGCCAAAGATCTGATCTGTGAGCTCCAGAGGGCTCTGAACCTGTCTGGTGGGATAATCACCCATATACTTCAAAATAGGTGCACGCCAACTTAGTCAAGGAATCCGCACTGTCTGGGGTTGCATCCAATAACCAGTTTCCCTGGCAAGTCTCACTTATAAGTCATTTGGATATGTATCAGTTAAAAATAAGGGATAACCCACTATTATGACAATAAAGGATGATTAAATATATGATAACAATACTTATTAGATGTCTGTCTGGAATATTCTTATTGGTCAGTTGCAACATTCCACGGTATGTTATTTCCAGATAACAACTGCTGAACAACACAGGATCATCCTGGAACTTCGAATCATCTTAACCATCAGTGAATAGGTCTACGTTCACATCCATATTCTTATATCCACATTCATATGCATCTGCTTGTCTCACACCACTGTTTTAGGCTGTTTGTCACCGTCTTGTGAAGGAACAATGTGTAGGTTGCACTATGCTCAATTCAACTAGCTTTGTTTCTGTCAGATTTATGTTTTTGATCGTTGGGTGCCATCTTGTAACTGAATAATGTGCAGGTTAGTGTATGCTCCATTAGCTATATTCAGCTTTTTTTCATTTCTGTCAGCTTTGCGTTTATTAAAGACATAACTAAATATTAGAGCTCAAAACAATATTTTGTCTAATTTTCATGCTTTGTGGCAATTAGCTGTGTAATAAGTAGGCCCATATGAAATTTGCGCATGCAGAGATTTCCACAGATTTTTATCCAATCGAGTCCATTTGTATACTTGTGTAAATGTGTGTAAATTTATATTTATTCAGTTTTTGAATTCATTACACTAATATTATTATGATATAATAATAGTAATATTAAAATGTTCACATGATTTATTTACAATACAGCTGGTAAAGTAATATTTTCTGTCTTTTATGAGATTTATTATATGAGAAACTTGCTTCATTTACCAAATAAGTGGTTCTAATTGGATTTGCATTGTACACACTAAATAAAAGCTAAAAATTTATTCTTTTTTATTTCACATTTTAGGTTTTAAGTTATAGCACTCCAAAAATCATTCAGCATAGATCCACTTTTTTTTTTTTTTTTTTTACAAAATTCTCAGCAGAAATAGCAAAAATTATCAGCAGATTCTGTCTAGCCCTAGTAAAAAGCAGGATAACGTATATACAGGATGACTGTGTTTGCAGAATAAAGCCCTTGTACATCAGCTCATAAGCCTGTCAGGCTTTACTCTGCAATAACAGCCTCCTGGATTTACTTTATCCCTAACATAATAGCAACATACTGTAAATGTTATAAGTGGCAAAGGATATCAGTGAAAACCTGGCAGGCTTGCGGGCTTAAATCTGGATTTCCCACCAGTCTCTTGAGCAGAGGTTGTCTGATGGGCTCTCTGGAGTTCGCCCAAAGTCTCTCAGGTGTTGCATTCTTTGATATCACCTGACGGTTCACATCTTTGATGGGCGGCCTGTGACAATAACAAAAACAAGGTCATTAATGTTGTTTATTTTTGAAACACTTGTGGGATGTTGGAAAAGATTAATAAGGTAGTAGCTTCGTTAACTACCTGAAATATTCAACGGAGAACTCTTTTAGAGTTGAAGGAGCCACTCTTTCAGTAAGGGTTCCCTTTGAAGTGTTGTCTATGATGGTCTTTCTCTGATCTGGTGACAAGCTGATGAGGCTCTTAAAACAGAACAAAAATTCATAATGCAGTAAGCTTAAATATTTGTGGAAACCAACGCTTATTCCAATAATCAAACAAATATACAGACATTCACAGATCTAAAAGAATGTCAAAGTCTGTTTAAGCATTTAAGACAAAGAAATCTCAAATCTCAGAGAAATCCTAAAATCTCAAAGGCTGTGTACACATAGCAGATAAATTAAGCTTATAGTTCACCTTTAATACTTAAAAGGATAATTCAATCAAAAACGAAAGTTTACTCACTATTTACTTACCCTCATGTGGGTAAAAACACAAAAGAAGATATTTTGAATAATCCTGGAAACCTGTAACCATTTACTTACATAATAGGGTATATGTGGAAGTATGTAGAAGGACTTTTAATTTATCTGTAACCTGGGTCAAGCGCTTCCAGTGAACTCAATGTCATTACAAACTTTTTTTGGTCTAGAATCAGCGATCTATGATATAAAGTGGGTCTCAGATTGTACAAGAAGCACTGCATTAACTTACATTTTATGTACATTATATGAACATTTATTTTACCCCAGTATATTCAATGGAGCTTTGGCACTAGCCTGCTAATGATGATGGGCGCGTGTGTGTAATCTCATTTTACGCTTAAGCAACTAAATGAACACTGAAGTCTATTTAACTGATCATATTTTAATTATATTAAAACATCGATGCTGTAAAAGGAACCTTATAAAATGGAAAAAAGTCGCATTAACTGTTCACCAGAAGTATATCAGCATGGAAAGAAACATTAACTCTACATTAACTCTACCCTGTTGTTAAAAACAGATACTAGGGAGGTCATTGGTTATAGGTTTTCAGCTTTCTTTAAAATATATTTGTGTTCAACAGAAGAAAGACACTATTAACTGTTTATAACGAGTGAAGAGACAGTAAATTAACATTCATTCTTGTGAGAATTATCCCTTCAAAATAATATTCAATACAAATTACATCAGCAATTTACAGAAGCAGGGCAGACCACAATAAAATGTGTCAAGAATTAACGGTTGACTTAACATTATTTGTAGATGTTATAATAAACAAAATACTCTAGTCTCAGACCTCAACAACGTTATGAGTTTGTGCTATTTGCAGCACATTTCTGTATTTCATTTGCTGTGAGAATTTGTGCTTGTGTGTGTTGTCAAACTAATGAAGATATTTTATCAGTTTGTTAGTGTTTTTCTATTTGCATGTTTGAGCTCTCTTGGCAACCATACAATCATAAATAATAGTAGAACACCATCTTTGTATATCTATTACAAAAGAGTAGATATAGCAAAGAAGAAAAAAAAAACCATCATATTCTCACCAGAACTTCATTGGTCGGTTTCGTAAGAGTTGGAAGAATCAATACAGCATCTGCAGGGATTGCACCGATTTCCCCAGTCCGCTCATTTTTCCCCTTCAACCAGCCACGGGCTGCAGAAAACTCTTCATCCTTGATAAGGTAGATGAGCTCGGCTTTCTTAAAGCTCAGAATTGTTCTATCGTCTAGGGAAAAATATTAGACAACAAAATTAGACAACAACAAAGTCAAATGATAAATGTTGATAAAAACACAAACATCAATTGCTGAAATGTATATGGCTAGTTTGACTTCTAACCTTGTCTGTTGACCTCCTGTAGGGCCACTGCATATTGTGAACGTTGTATGAGGCCTGCCAGAAACATGGCTACCAGATCAGAGATTTCTACAGCCATGATTGCATTCAGTGTGAAGTCTCCTTTCAGAGTCAGCAAACAAACACACTTCCTTTCTCTGGTGGAATCAAGAGAGGTAGAATTATTTTTTTTGGAAGCTAACACTCTTATTTACATTAATTATAAAGGAATAAAGGCCATGAAACATTAAGTGTTGTCCAGCAGACCTGATAGTGTTGACCCCGGTGAGCTCTGGGTAGGACAGAATTAGAAGATTCTTTTCTCGTTCATCAAGGAAAGTTATTCCAGTTGAATTTATGGCAAGGATGAACTTGCTCTTTGGTAGAGGAGGACCTGAGCATTGAAATTACACAAATGCATTGTCATTTATCAAAGTATATAAAAGATTTTGGTTTATATTATTGTGTCTCAGTAGTGGAATTGATTTAATCTGCTATATGCAAAACATTTCGTCAACATCTGTGAATATTTGTAGTAGTTTTGATGTAAAGAATGCATTATATCATTTTTTATTTATTAATTTCTACATAAAAACAGCACAACAATTATTACACTTACTCTATAATGCATAGGTCTTTAAATAAATAAATAAATAAATAAAACAATATTGGTCAACTAAAGAAATGTCCTGTATACCGTGGTGTAAAGTAACTCATTAAAAATACTCAAATTACTGTAATTGAGTATTTTTTTTCTCAGTAATTTAATAAGTAGTTTTAAAAAAAGTGTACTATTACATTCCCTTGAGTACATTTTTAGTGCGGCATCGGTAATTTTACTCCACTACTTTCCTTCAACCTGCAGTCACTACTTTATTTTTTCTTGTTTATGTGGATTAGAAGAATCAGTCCTGTGATTCCTGTCCAATCAAATCGCACATACAGTGAAAGGTAAATCGCACTATATTGAACTACCTCAAGACATGGGCGATTTATAATTGCAGCAAACTGTTTGGAAGCATTAAAAGTGTCCAAGAAGAAGTCCAAAATCTTTACACGCATTGACCCAGAGACTGTTTAGATGCATGTCACCAATTTTGGTTGCCATGCCTGATGAATAAATGTTACTATTTGACGTCAATATGATGTTGGTTTAAGATGTTGGCTCGACGTTGGATTTTGGTCACTTTTTAATAACATAAAATCGACCAAATATCAACATAATTTTACATCATTATTGGACCAGGGGCGTTGCGAGGGGGGGGCTTTGGGGGCTTAAGCCCCTGATGTATTGTCAAAAGCCCCTAATCTTTTGGAATATGTTGCACTTAAATAAAAATAGGTTGTATAACATTTATTTTGTTATCAAAGTTCAAACAATTAACACGTGTATATCACGCGTATTCTACCTAAAGCAGTGTTTGTGTCAGGTATTTAAAAAATGTAATCTATTCAGCAGTACCTGTTTCTACCGGCAGGTGGGAGTGGCTCTGTTGTCACATGGTCTAAAAATGATGTGCCGCCACTGCACATCATTCATTATTTTGAGCAGCTGAAGCTGAGAGGTAATAATACAACTGTTTCGCAAAACTAAATAGTTCTAGCTAAGTTACAGATGAAGCTTAATATTTGTTTTTACAGCAGAAAATGTGTGTAGTTTTGGTGAAATAAGATAACTGTAGGTAGTATATATATATATATATATATATATCTAGACATCTTTATCTAGATATGATATAGCCAGTCACATCTGTTTCTGTAATAGTTAAATCACAGTGAGTTCATGTATCTAGCTTTTTGGACATCAAAATAACGTTGTCCTTAGATGCTGGCTAGACGTTGAATTTTGGTCACCTGACATCACAATCTAAATCTAACATAATATTAACATCTCATGATGTTGTGTGCCTGTTGGACAACAACCAGATGCATTTCAGAATGTTACGTTTACACACACATTTAAAAATTAACAACAAGCTTTTTACAGCATAATACTAATTACCCACAACTCGAGTAATTTTGAAAGGTCTACATTTAACTCATACTTTGAGTAATATTTACAACAGATACTTTTATTCTACTTGCACTACATTTTTTAGACAAGTAATGCTACTTTTAATTGAGTAAGATTTTTCATTACTCTGTCCACCACTGCCTGTATATTATTTCTATTGTGATATCTTTCTTAGAAAAAACTAAATGATGCAACGCTAGATTTTATCCATAACATGAAGCCCTATTCAAAATAATCAATTTTACAGACCCCAAATCTTTGAAAACTAGTGTATGTGGTCACATCTTAATATGCAGTGCTTACCAGATAACTTGGCAACCTCAAAAAACTTGGAAAAGAACATGGGCCACTTCTGACGAGCAAAGTCAACCACTTCAGCTTTTACTTTATCAGACTTGGTTCTAGAGGTTATAAAGGGGCCCTGAATAAGCAGACAGTGACAAAAGCTTGTGACAAATTGTGACATAGAATACTATTTATTTGTTTTGACATAATATGCAAAAGAATCATCTCTACCTGTGCGTGTGCTGTGTTGACCATCTGGGCCCACTTGTCTTCTGACTTGGCCTCCAGTAGTTTGGAGTTAATGCATTCCCTAACTACAGTCTTAGTGTTCTCCATACTGATGTCTGATCCATGCTGGACATAGAAGTGCTTTGCTGCAAGCCCAACATAGTCTTCTTCCTGAAACGCATGCAAAACGCCATAGAATGAATGACAGTCAACATCGAGATTCACATAACAATCAGCAAAACTGTACCCCAATATCCCCTTTTAATCAGACACTATCAAAAAGTTTAAAAGATACTTTATATTCTGTGATATAAGTTTAAAAAATGAACACACTGACATTTTATACAAAAAAAATAAAAATAAATCAAAGTCATTGGTAAAGTTTTCATCACCAATACCTTTGAACTTACTTATCTAACTTGCTAATAGGCATTGTGACGATAACCGATTTCAAAGTTTACAGCAGTTAGGAAAAGTCAAGGTTTTAAAACTGCTAAAATCTTCTGTTATACTGTTCCTGCGGTATATGAACTTTTTAGGGCAACATTATATTAAAAGGAACAACAAGATAATTCTTCTCATGATGCTTTGCCAGAGAAGATATCAGGTGTGATGTGGATGAGAACATGTGGCCAAATGCAGAAGATTGTTTATTATTATTTTTTAATAATTGTAGTGCTTTTTCTGTTTGTATATCTAGCAGCCATTGTCCTTTTGCAAATAAAGCCTGTACTGCAGCAATTCTGTGTCTGTATTTTTTTTTTTTTTACATAAACTGAAAATTTTATAAAGCTACTCTGAGATGGTCATTTATTTTTGTATTGAATTTCTGCAGCAAAAGAAACAAAATGCATGCATTTACTAAACCTAACAAAACAAAAATGTAGAGAGGCTTCAAATATAAGGGCAGACCTGACATAAAATAACGCAGCTTCTGTAATTTTAGCTGATGATAGTGTTTTTATTGCCAAAGTGTTACGACTGACTAAATGTTCCTGTTGGAAGAGAACATGTGTTAGTGTTTTGAATAATTATTTGATTTTGAAACATGTTTGCAGTGTTTTGTTAGACATTGTGTATTGTGTTAGTTTATTACTGTATTTTGAAAAGTAGTTTTGGGGTTTAGTTTACAATGTGTGATTTTGAGCATGAAGTTAACCGTTTTGCCAATTGTGCATTTTTGGTGAGTTGGTGCATTAAGAGTTTAATAAACTTGTCAAATGCATTGGAAAAAAAACTTTCATAGCCATTTAAAAACAAACTGTAATAAGGGTTAATCCTAATCTGTGCAGAGTTGCAGCTCTCCAGGAACTGAGTTTGACACCCCTCATTTATATAGTGTTGCATAGTGTGAAATACCTCTGACAGAAAAATCAAGCCGTGGTCTGAACGGCACATCAATTTCTCAATGTTTAAAGTCATGTAACGTGAACTAGACCAGGGTTCCTGCAGGTTTTACCAAGTTATATTTCAGACTCTTATAATGAAGACTTTTTTTCTTTTTTTAGAAAAGATTTTTACTCACCCTATCTTATATGATTAAAATATAATACATTTAATAATACAATAATAATATTTATTATTAATTACTTTGAATGTTTTTTTTAATTAATTTTTAAATATATCCATTCACAAACCCTATAACCCTTATAATAAATAGAACAAAACATAGCTATCAATTACTTCAGTCAACAATAATAATAATAATTATTATTTATAAATTTAAATAAAATAATAAAAATTTAAAATATAGGTCAGTGTTCTTGACAGTTAATAAATGGAGAACTTTCAAGCAAATGTTACTATAAGGAAAGCAATTAAATGCTATTTTTAAATAAAACGTAAAAGTTTTATTGAGATGGATTGTATGGGTGTTAATGACCATAAACAAAGGAAAATTACGACCTGTTAAAAAAAGATTTAAGACCTACAACACAACATTTCAGTTGATTTAAGACTTTTTAAGACCGTGCGGATACCCTGTAGACTTAACATGACATTACAGTAAAAGCAAATGATAGCAATAAAATATATATCCAGTGAACAACATCAAGTCCCATCATGCTGTTTTTTTCTCTCATTTTATAAGCCAAATCACTAAGCTATGCATCAGTTAAGGAAAAAAAAAACTTCCATTTGAACTCACCTTCTCACACTGGTACTCTCCATATTTCAGTCCTCTGATAACCTGTCTGTAGATCAGGTCTGTGCTCACGTTGTCCTGGGCGCAGTCATGCCAAGGCGCAAAGACCTCTTTACGGAAGTAGAGACGCCAGGGGGCATGCTGCTCCTGCCCCCCCTTCCTCTTCACTTCCTGCTCACACTGAGAGATGGCATCCATCACATGCTCACGGCCACTACCAAGAGACCAAACCTAAAGACAGACAGACACAATAGCACATTTCAAATCATAACACAGAACAAAATCCAACTTGATTGCTTAATTCAGTCCGACCTCATACCTTGTCATATAAAGCGACGTAAATTGAGAAGCCAAACGTGTCCTGAAGTTTGACCTTCTGTGAGAGCATCTGGCAGACCTCTTTAGATGTGGATGCAGAATCTACAGGCATGCTGATCGTTCTGCCATCCATCAAAGTCACTGAGATGGCTATGGGTTTCTTGGACTTTGTGGCCTGCAAGAAAATGAGAATTTGAGTAACAAATCTATGGTAGACTTTTGTTACACTTGTATGTATGTACCAGATCATAAAAGTATAAAGATTTAAGAGATTTTCACACATAATGCATTGGCAACAATGTGACCACTAGTCATAAATTTCAATCACTTTCCTCTAATTATGATTTTCTTAGGTAAAATATTAAATTATGCAGTGACTATAGAGTATCAATAAAGACATTGGAGCTTGCATGGTACATCTATTGTGATACACTAGTCTATGGCCCTGTTCACACCTGGTATTGCATTTTCTTTGATCTGATCACAGACAACACGCTAGTACAGGTGTGAAAGGGTGATGAAAGGTCCACTTTCGACCACATCCATGTGTGGTTGAATGCCATAAACCTTCTTTTGTTTTTCAAAACAACATTCAGGGGCATTTTGGGTGATGTTGCATGTGTTGGATGACCTATCTTTTCTCGCAATCAGTTCCTAATACTCTGCATAAAGATTTTATTAGTGTTGCCAACTATTTTTTTTAATGAAAAGGCGCTAAACTTTGCACGAAAAGTTGTTAGATGTTGCCAAATTACATCATACATCAATTTGCATATTACTGACATAATCACGTTCAACTGTTTCTGTTTGTTTTACAGTCTATGGTTAATAAAGGGGTATTTATATTTGCAATATGCTTGCTGTAGGCTTTAACAGCCTTTGGTTAAAAATGGGGTATTTATATTTGCACTCCACTTTATGTACACATGTCAATTGAACTAAATTTATAGCTGTTTGAATACAGTATATCAGTGTAGATGTTTAGTGAATTTGGAGTAATCTCTCAGAGGTAATAAACTCAGACAAGTTCAGAAACTGTCACTAAATTATCTGTGATTGTAAACAAGAAAAAAATAAACGGTCAAATTAAATAGTTCAATTTAAAACAAATAAGAAGCAGATCAGTTTCACTGTATGATGGAAACACAATTCACACTCTTGGTGCTAAATCACTTGCTGTTGTTAAGCAGAGGGGTGATCTGCTGATGAGACGGCCTACAGAGAGGATATACGGCATCTGGCCACTTGGTGCACCAACAATAATCTGCTCCTTAACACCAACAAGACCAAGGAGCTCATTGTGGACTTCAGGAAGGGACGAACAGGCTTACATGAACCCATCCACATCAATGGGATGGCCGTTGAGCCTGTCTCATCCTTCAAGTTCCTGGGGACCAACAACTCAAAGGACATTTCCTGGACCACCAACACCTCCAGCCTGATCAAGAAGGCTCACCAGCGCCTATTTTACTTAAGGCAACTTAAGAAGAACCAGGTTTCATCAGCTGTCTTGGTGAACTTCTACCGCTGCACAATAGAGAGCATTCTGACAAACTGTGTCACAGTCTAGTATGGAACCTGCTCCAGCGTAAGGCACTGCAGCGGGTAGTGAAAACTGCCCAAAACATCACAGGGCCACACTGAAAGCTGTAGAGGACATCCAGAAGAAACTCTGTCTGTGCCGAGCATGCAATATTCTTAAGGATTCCTCTCACTCTGCTCACAGACTGTTTTCTCTCCTGCCTTCCGGTTGACGCTTCAAGCTCCCCGGACAAAAAAAAAGCAGACTGAGGAACAGCTTTTCCCCCCAGAGCTGTCTCCCTTTTGAACTTTGCCCCTCTCTGATTCTTTTAACCCCCTACTACACCCCCCACTCTCCTCTAACTTATACTCCTCACTATCACTGCACTATTTAACATTTGCACATTTAAAATTTGCACATATTCATTGCACTGATTCACTTATTTGAACTCTACACAGGGCCGGCGCGTCCATAGAGGCGACCTAGGCGGCCGCCTAGGGCGGCAGTTAATAGAGGGCGGCATCCGCGACACCTCCCTTACCACCCGCGTCCTCAGTTATGTCCGCGACACCTCCCTCACCACCCGCGTCCTCAGATATATTCGCGCATAGACGTCAGAATAGAGAGGGCGGCGTCAGCGACAACTCCATCAGCAACCGCATGTCCTCAGTTTTATCCGCGCATAAGGCGGCAGAATTGAGGTCCGCGACACCCGCGCGTCCTCAGTTATATCCGCGCATAGGGTGGCAGAATAGAGAGCGCAGTGTCCGCGACACCTCCCTCCCTCAGCACCCGCGCGTCCTCAGTTATATCCGCGCACAGTGCGCTGGAAAAGAGGTCCGTGACACCTCACTTCCTTTTCATGACCGGTCACTTTCGTTTTCACATTGGGGTTAAGGGCGGCATGATGGTCCTCGTTCAGCTTGCTCCGGCCCTGACTGTACATACCCACTGCACATGGACATTTGTAATTATGTACACACCCCCTGTACATATACTGTACATTTGTAATCATATGTATCTATCTGCACACTTCTGATTATTAATAGCAACCTGTATATATATTCATTTATTGTAAATCTCTGTTCATAGCTAATAAAACCTGTATATAATGTTCATAATACATCCATCTGTAAATATCACAATAGTTTTTCTATAACTGCACTTTATAACATATACCTGTATCCTGCACTTGCTGCTATTGCACTGCTGGTTAGACCTAAACTACATTCCATGGCCTTGTACTTGTACATGTGTAATGACAATAAAGCTGAATGTAATCTAATCTGTTTTCAGGCTGCAGGTGGAAGAGACTGCTGTATCTGCTGGGAGACAGGCCAACAACACCCCCTGCGACTTGTTGAGAAGAGTAGGAATGGTGCAGTATGGACACATGGCAGTCTATAAAAATCAGCATTAACACCATAAAAAGTCGCTAGATACTGTATGTCGCTAGTCGCTTTTTAAAAATCTGCCGCTAGGGGGCTCTGAAAAGTCACTAAATATATTGACAAAGTTGCTGAGTTGGCAACAACGGATTTTATTCAAACACTTTTATTATAATAACTTCCAAAGTTTTAAAATGTTTGTAAAAGGAAGTTAATACAATTTTTAAAAATGTTTATCCATGTTAAAACTGTAAAAATGAATGTGGTGTGTATAAATAGAGTTGTTCAGAAATACAAGAAAATTGTTCTTTTTCATTAGTAAAGTAACCTATTCACAAAAGCATGTGTATTTGCTCTGGTAATTTTAGTTACTTTTTTTTTTATTTGGCACAGTATGAAAATTGTACTAGCTTTAGCATTGTTTGACTGAAATAAAAAGAAAATCCAGTTTCTGCCCAAAGACACTCCCTCATCAGACAAGTGGCTGAAAAGCGGTTTTCACTGAAAAGAGAAAAGTGGAAGTGGACAAAAGCCAGGTGTGGTTTCTTTGTCCATTTGTGATCAGATTGATGAGCATGCATCTCAATATCAGGTGTAAACAGGGCCTAGTTTTTTTAGTCCATTTTTAGTACAAAAAAAACTTTAAATAGAAACTGATTTTTACCAGCAATTCATCTCACGTTTGTTATTTCTGTCTTATATTTGTCATAATTTAATAAGACTGATATACTGTACTATAAATGTAGATAATAGAATAACTGATATTTATGTAATTTTAGTTTTTCAACAGTACTTTTTCTTTAAAGACGATGTAATTTACAAATTATTCAATTATTTTATTATAAAATATTAGAAAATATTATACTATAATTACATATAATTCTAGTATAATAGGTGAGAGCATTTTCATAAAAACCTCAATTTAAAAGATAAATTAGTTAGCAGAAATATATTGTTGATGTGGTTACTAAATCATAAGTGTGGACTATCAAAATCAGGTGTTATTTTGCATCATGTAGAACAATTCCAATATAACTTCATTTTAAACAAAACTTGCATATTAGGCAGGGACAAAAGTAACACACGGATGGGCCAAAAGTAACACTAAATTAAAAGCTAAATTTATTGATTTAATCTTGTTTATTTGACATGTTTCTGACTATGACCTTGTTAATGTTACTTGCTAAAATATTTTGTTCTTTAATTTTGCAAAACAAATAAATAAATAAATAAACTGCCTTTTCATTTTAAAATTCACTTCTATCAAATGTTTCAAAAGCATTGCACCAATGTAAAATGTTACAATTTTCTAAAAATCTTAATCAAAACACTGCAAACTGGTTCAGTTTCAGTCACGATTATTATGCCATTGATTCGGTTCAATTCGATATCTCGGTGCATCACGGTGCATTGACGATGCTTTTCATACACAGTGCTATATTTATACACACACACACACACTTAAGCCCTCGCAATATGCGTTTAGCCGGGAGAGCTTGCGCTGAGCGGAGCAAAACATTTTTTTTTTAGTTTTCTGACGGTCCCTTACTGAGAGCACCGCTCCACGCGAGCGGTAAAAGAGGCAGTGGTCATAATGTCGAGTGAAAAAAAGAAAATGACAGCTGTGAAACATAACCAGCTTTGTCTTTTTGTGGGAAACACACTTTAGATTTTTTTAGAGTAAGAGGTTTTTGAGTTATTGCCGTCTATAACTAAATGTGTAAGGAATATCGAAAACAAAACCAACTTAACCGCGCTCATTTCTGGCGCCCTCCTGGATGTACAGTGCCCTTAGCATTTGCCTATACTGCCTGTGCCATGGGCAGGTGTTACACCATATTCTGTGACTATCGAATTCAGTGACAACCGATTTCGATGGTCACAGAATATTGTGTAACACCGGCGCTCACCTCCCTCGTGACAGATCGCATAGGAGATAAATGACGTCAGTACATAATAACTGGTTATGATTATTACTGAACCGATACCGAATTGTCCGCGTCTGCATCGTGGTGTACTGAAAAAACAATGAATTTTGACACCCCTAAAAAATAAGGTATGTCTATTAGCAGTGGGACATAAATAACAGTGTTCTTTTGTCCGCACAGGAACTCTTGCCATTCAACACAATTTACTTTTAAATTGAAAAACTCAGAGGTTGCAAACTTAAGAATGTGTTATTGCACTAAATAACCTGTAGATTAATCATTAGTTTGACACATGAAAAAAGAAATAAAACATGTAATAAGGAAAAGGAACCGCTATAATAATTAACTTTTAACCAGGGATTATATTTTTAATCCCTGTCATTTTGTTACGTTTTGGTTAAACCTATTTTTGATTAAGGAATTTTAATATATAATAATTATATATATATATATATATATATATATATATATATATATATATATATATATATATATATATATATATATATATATACAGTTGAAGTGACAAAGTGTCATGAAGTGACATTTAAAGGGTAAATTAGGTTAACTAGGCAGTATTTGTTCAAACTGATAAGCTCACTGACTGTAGCTACTATTACAGTACGTTGTAGCATTCATAATCCAATTGTAAATACTAAAATATATACAGTACAGTACTATAATTCAATTATTTCAATATAGGTGCTCTATACCTATATTGAAATGTGAACATATTTTCAAAATCTATGACAATGGATATAGTCTGAAAATGAATTTGTGAATAGTCTAAATCTGTGTATTTATGAACAGTGTAACATAAGTGTTTTTACCTGGAGCTCAAGCCAGCTGGGCGGCTCTCCACGCACTCCATTGGCAACAGTGCGCCTAAGACGCTCAGCACAGTAAGGTGCGTATCCCACAGGACCAAAACGAAGAAAACTCTGCAGATACTACAAGAAGAAGAGACAATAAGACAAATTAAGAATACATTCATAAAGAATGAGTGACATAATGCAATAAAGACTTCTTGATGTTCTTCGTTCACCTTAATAAAGCGCTCAGTAGGAGGAAAGATGCCCAAACAGATAGACAGGAGGATCCAGCCACGAAAAAAGCTTCCGCGGTTTGAGTTCTCCTGGAGCTGCTTACAGATCTGGCAGTAGATTTCATCTCTAGCAATAACAGAAACTAAGGATTTAGCAGCGGAAAAACCTGACAACTAAGCAACAAATTACATATGGTTATTATGGGTAATAAATTACCTGAGGTCACGTCTGACAATGGCATATCCCACAATGATATGCAACTTTTCAAGAGATGTCATTGGTCGGTCCAGAGTGAGTCCATCTGTGTTCATCTCATCTTCTTCACTTATAGTTTGCACAGTGGATTGTCTGGGAACTTCAGACCCGTCCTCTGCCTTAATAATAGAGAGTCGAAAAGTTAATAATAAATGAGTCAAAACTTAATATATTTATAATATATATTTAATATAGCTGATAGTTGCATGTGATAGTGCACCAATATAGAACAAGAAAGCATTTATTGTCTATTATTTATCATCTATTATTATGTGAATGAAAAATAACAGCAAGAGGACATTTATAATACAATTAATTATATAATAATATGATTAATATAATATACTTAATCACTTAATCATTATATATAATTCATGATTTATATATATATATATATATATATATATATATATATAATATCTTGAATCTTCTTGGATGATAGCTGTGCAATATTCTGCAAATAACAGCACTCGTCCAGCCTCTTTACCCTCCACCCTTGTATATTACTCCACCCACATACAGCAACAAGCAGAGGACAGTTCTACAGTTTGACAAATGTTGCTACTGTTAGACAACATAATGTACTTTTTAGGCTTTTTAGTCATGAATGTAGTTGCTTAGGTTGCAACTATGCCGTTTATTTATAAGAATAGTGCCTATTTTGAATATTTATAATTTCGGAGCATCAGATTCATCAGTCTGTTTGAGCAGACCAAAAATGTGACGGTGGATGTTCCACCACAAGATGGTGGCAGAGACCGCATAATAAGTCCTTAGGGGAGAAAAACAGCCTTTTCTCAGCGTAAATTTCAAACTACAGCAGAACAAAACATTTTAAATCAGGTAAGTGATATTCTAAGTCGATCTCTCTCTCTTGTATTTTGCGTTGCTGTATTTATACCACAGAAACTGGTAGTGTTTGCATTGCTCTGGCTTTTTCGGGGTTATTTATTGTAAAATCCCAATTGCAACAAAGAAATTCTGGGAAATCTCTGTAGACTGATGGAATTTCATGCTGTTCAGCATTATAATCTTAAAATGTGAGCAAAAATGCCTTTTTTTGTCATCACTTTACACATTACGCTAGAGAATCATTCAAATATAGCTCTAAATTGACGCTGGTGAAGTAGCAACAGTTTCTGTTTTCACACATAACACATTTCTAATAACTCAGTATAATTCAAATTCAAATACAAATATATATATATATACACTGAGTTATTATGTCTGAACACATTAGATCATTTTCAATTATACTTTAGATATAACAAGTCTAAAATATCATATTGATTAGCCATGTGAACATGACTTCATGCAAAAAAAAAAAAAAGTACAGAAAAAATAAATGCATACATAATAATCATTATTTTCAAAAAAATAATAATAATAAATAAATAAATAAATGTATTATTAATTATTTTAAGGTTACAAATAGTACCACACTACATGTTTACAAAACTTTATTAGATAAAGACATCTTTATCTTGATGAAGTTCATAAATTTTACATTGGCTTTATCAAGAAGTCTACATTAAATAAATATAGAATTTTTAAGAATATAAAATATGTATTTATGCATCACCTCTTCTGCTATAACTGATGGTTTTCTAGCAGATCTTTTGTTTGATGGTGGTCCTTCAGCTGTGGAGGTCTTTCTGTTTCGAGACATTATGTCAGTAAAAGTGGAGGTCTTTCTATTTCTGGGACCCTGTTCTGGTAAGGCTGATAGTTTGCGGTTTGGAACACCATCATCTTGAACAGATTTTCTGCTCCGGGACAGTAAGTCTGTAAAAGTGGAAGACTTTCTGTTGCGAGAAGCCTCTTCCGGAACTGTAGGCACGGCCTTGTTCTGAACAATTCTGGAATTTCTAATTCTCTGAAAATAAGGAAACATGCATTAATGTCATTTGTGTATTCAAAAGAAAAACAGCCACCTGCTCTTCTTACAATGAGAAAATGTAAATAGGGTGAAGATGGAGCATAAATAAATTTAATTATCAAATTATTTAATCAAAAGATTTGTTAATTTCTTGGTTTATTCCTTTATTCTTATTTATTTATATATATAAAAGATAGTGCTGTCGCCTCACAGTAAGAAGGTCGCTGGGTCAAACCTCGGCTCAGTTGGAGTTTCTATGTGGAATTTGCATGTTCTCCCAGCGTTCGCATGGGTTTCCTCTGGGTGCTCCGTTTTCCCCCACAGTCCAAAGACTTGTGGTACAGGTGAATTGGGTAGGCTAAATTGTCCGTGGTGTGGGTGTGTGTGTGTGTGTTTGTGTGGATGTTTCTCAGAGATGGGTTGTGGCTGGAAGGGCATCCGCTGTGTAAAAACTTGCTGGATAAGTTGGCGGTTCATTCCGCTGTGGCGACTCCGGATTAATAAAGGGACTGAGCCGACAAGAAAATGATTGAATATATATATAATAAATAAATAAATATCAATGCACAAGTCAAAATTAGTAGCCCTCCTGTGAAATTTTTAGTCTTTTTAAAATATTTTTTCAAGAGATATGTAACTTTTCACTGTATTTCCTATAATATTTGTGTTATTTCTTTTTAATTTGACTGAAAAAAAAGAAATTATATTTTGTCTAAAACTATTTTAGGTAATGGTTTTTAGCTTACGAAATATATATTTTTGATTGTCTAAAGAAAAAGCCACTGTAATCCAATAACTGACTTAATAATCCTAGCTTGCTTTAATAATATAATAACCCAGCTAAGCCTTTAAATTGCACTTTAATGTAAATACTAGTATCTTGCAAAATAAATAAAAAATATCCTCCATTAGTTATCAGAAATTAGTAATTAACACTTTTATGTTTAAAAATGTGTTACAAATGCATTAAGTTCTCTGCATTAAGCAACACTTGGGAAATCTAAAAAAATAGGGCTAATAATTTTGACTTTGACTGGAGGCGAACTGGACTGTATTAAAATATATTTTAAAATGTAATTTAATATTATTTATTATTGCTTTTTATTTATTTATTTGTTTGTTTGTTTTTGTGTGTATCTATATAGTTCTTACATACCAGACATTTTACTTTGACAGCAAAATTGTACAGTATGTATACTACATTGAAATGCTATTTTTTTTGTTGACAAAAGATTCTTTCACTTAATGCACAGCACTTTCAGCAAAAGCAATAATATGAAATAAGTGCATCCGCCATTAAAAGTGCAACCCAGCTGATGATGAGCAACAATATTTCATACACTAGCCAATGAGGATTTTCACTTATTTCACTCACTTCATGCTGGATGATTTTAGAATCTGTTTATGGTTTTATTAATATCGAGTTAGCTCTTAGCTAAGATGACCTGCTTTGGAGCCAAATGGGTCAGAGCACTGAATTTAAGAAATAAAAAGGTAAATTTTTTTTGCTCACCTGGTCCACGCCAACCATATGGCTAAGGCGTCTGTCCTGTCTGGAAGCCACATCTTTCTGCACAGAGCGATCGGCAAAGGCTGTTCCACTTCTTGAGACCACCTGAGCTTTCGGTTCAGGAAGATCACCCATAAATCTCAAGATCATCCACCAAACTGTTAATGAAGCCTGGAGTAAAGACAACATGACAGCATAGAAGAGTTTGTGTCAAGAAAAGCAATACTAGATAACCAAGTACTATACTATAAATGTAGACATGCAAGTTAAAGAGGGCTTTACCAGGACATCATTCTCGTCCTCATGGTAGAGCAGAGGTTGGCGTAATCTCTGACGAATGTGTGTTGGTGTGGCAGCGCCCTGGAAATACATGGAAGCAAACTTGGAGAAGGAGTACTCATCCAAATCATCATAGTCTTCCTCTGGAATGGGCATCATTGGAGCATCATCCAGATCCACCTCCTCAAGCACCGTCCGCTTGCCCTCCAAGTCCTAAACGCACACATAAGAAGTTTTCAGGATTGTATTTTTTATGATTTAATGTCACCACAAAACTTGAATTGATTTTAATTATTTATTTTTTATTATTGTTAAAAATATTAAAAGTAAATATACTGCATCTGGAAAGTATTTATAGCGCTTCACTTTTTCCACATTTTTTTGTCTTTTAGAATAGGATGCCACAAGCTTGGCACACTTGTCTTTGGAAATTTTTGTCCATTCCGCCTTGCAGTACCTCTCAAGCTCTATCAGGTTGGATGGGAAGTGACAATGTACAGTCATTTTCAGATCTCTCCAAAGATATTCAATAGGATTTAAAGGGTCACGAAACACCAAAACACATTTTTTGAGCTGTTGACAGTCGTATATGTGTCCCACACTGCTAAAAACACTATTAGGACACCTATATTTCACTAAAAAGTGTAAATTGGTTGTTTTTGCATTATGTCAAGCAAATTCGTGCTTCCGGTTTGAAACGAATTTTTGAAGCTACGTCACGGTCATGACATAATAGCGTTGTATTCCAGCGTGCAGACTGGGCTTCTGTGCCAGAGTGTGTCTTATTACGTCTTCCAGTGTAATGCATTAATGCATGAGTAAGGCTTGGTTCAAACCAATCAGCGCGCTCTATTGTGCAACTTCATTAATAATCATTACTGTCACAGTGTTTAGACGACAGAGACGCCACGTTGTATTGGCAAAACAAGTGTGAAGTGTTGCTTTTATAGTCTGCTGCCGTTAAGTTTTGTTTTCATTTTCTCTCTGTGAGAGCTCAGATTCGCTTGTAGTCTCCTCTTAATAAAGACGCGGCTCTAGTTGCTGGTGATTGTCCTGTCTCTACAGATTTGGTAAGTGAGCGACCAGTGCTCTTCGTTTATTTAGTTTGTTCGTATCAAACAAACTATTGCACAGAGTGTAAACATGTTAGCACTACAACCAAACTTTAACCTTGTGTAGGATTTTTACCGCATTTTGTGAACGGAATACCCCACGCGGCTTTCTGACGCTACCTGCCCTGTGCATCTAAGTTTCCGGGAAATGCTGAGTTTTTTTTTTCTCTCATTCGCCGTGCGGTATCAAACATTGCATGAAAAATACACGCTTAACGTTACAGCAGTTCCTCGAATCAAATATCTCGTTTGTCGCGAGGGACATGAATGAATTCTCTGAATGAAAGACAGTTAAAGTCCACCATTTAATAATTTGGCAAATAATTCGACTACAGATGCCCATGTACTCCCACACCGTGCCTCTTTTCTTCCTCCGACACTCCCCCCTAAACAGAGCTGGACACGCCCACTTTTCTGGCTTTTTCCAAAGTAGAGGTGTGAAAACACCCTGCTGAATCGAGGGGGTTTCATGGCCCTTTAAGTTCTGGGCTCTGGCTGGGCCTCTCAAGGACATTCACCGAGTTGTTGTGAAGCTACTTCATTAATATTTTGGCAGTGTGCTTTGTGTCATTGTCCTGCTGGAAGATGAACCGTTGCCCCAGTCTGAGGTCAAGAGCACTCTGAAGCAGGTTTTCATTCAGGATGTCTCTGTAGATTGCTGCATTCATCTTTCCCTATATCCTGACTAGTCTTCCAGTTCCTGCTGCTGAAAAACATCCCCACAGCATGATGCTGCCACCACCATGCTTCACTGTATGGATGGTATTAGCCTGGTGATGAGCGGTACAAGGATTTCTCCGAATGTAACACCTGGCATTCACACCAAAGACTTCAATTTTAGTCTTATCAAACCAGAGAATTTTGTTTCTTATGGTCTGAGAGTTCTTCAGATGCCTTTTGGCAAATTTCAGGTGTGGAGTGGCTTCCGTCTGGCCACTCTACCATACAGGCCTGATTAGGGGATTTCTGCACAGATGGTTGTCCTTCTGTAAGGTTCTCCTCTCTCCACAGAAGAATGCTGGAGCTCAGACAGATTGACCGTCGGGTTATTGATCACCTGCCTGACTCTAGGAAGAGTCCTGGTAGTTCCAAACACCTTCCACTTATGGATGATGGAGGCCACTGTGCTCATTGGAACTTTCACAGCAGTAGAAACTTTTCTGTAAACCTCCCTAGCCTTGTGCCTTGAGACAATCCTGTGTATGCCTTCTCAAATCATGTCCAATCAACTGAATTTACCGCAGGTGAACTTCTATAAAGCTGCTGAAACATCTCAAGAATGATCAGTGGAAACAGAATGTAGCTGAGCTTAATTTAGAGCTTCACAGCAAATGCTGTGAATACTTATGTACATGTGATTTTTCAGGTTTTTCATTTTTAATATATTTGCAACAATTTCAAAAAATCTTTTTTGACATCATTGTCATTATAGGGTATTTTAGCGGAAATAAATTAATTTAATCCATTTTGGAATACGGTGGTAACATAAACAAATTGGAGCTATGAATACTTTCCAGATGAACTGTAGATATTACATTTTATAATGAACTTCTTAAAATAAAAACAAACATTGTGAATGCATTGTCTTTTATCTGTCATGTAACAGTATTTACATTTAAAAAAATAATCTGATTAATTTATAACATTTAATAGAAACATTTCATTTTAGCTTGCTTCTTTGTGGATCAACAATTAAACAAACAAACAAATGGTTGTGTTAAATTAGGATTGACAATCTCAGTTGAAGGTATTTGCCTCAACCTTCTTCATCATTCTCCTTCACCAGTCTAAGATGGGACAGCAGGCCAAATCATAGGCTCACTGGTGCTAATTTGGGCATCTCTGCAATAAAATTTCGGCCTTTAAGAAGTTTGATCTCTCACCTCAAAGCCCACAGGGGCCTGGCCCTCCTGTCCACCAACCATGCTAGGTAAGAAGCCAAAGATATCATCCACCATTTCCTGATCTGTAATAGATTCTAACTGTTGAGCCGCCTCTCGTTCTCTTTTCTGGCGCAGAACTTCCTCAAGCCTCCGCTGTCTCTCTAGAGCAGCAAGTTCTTCAGCCCTGCGCTCCTGGAGTGAGAGGAAAGCCTGCAAACGACATGGATGGATGAAAAGAGGGCATGTAGCTTGAGATATTTAACAAAACATGGTGGCTCTTTCCCTCAGGAAATGTCTTACATCTCTCTTCATCTTATTGACAGCTTTTCTAGCTAGAGTTCCTCTGGTGTACGCTTGCAGGAGGATCACTGCGTCTCTCTTTCGTTTCCACTCCTTTCTCGCCAGACATCCACGAGTCTGAGACTGCAGCAGAAGAGTTGCCTTTCGCTTCTGTTTGTACTCCCAGGCCATCTTACGAGAGCGAACTTGAGCCTGCAGACGGGCGTAACCCAACTGGACCTGCAGAAAGACAAGGAACACTCTACTACACACTTGTCCAAGCATTAATTATTGTCTTATATGAACTGTCAATCTGTAGACAGAGGATAACTTACCACTCTGTAAAGTTTTCTGCCTTTGTGTCCACGCCAGGTTTTCTGTATGGTCACAGCTGCTCCTCGCTTCCTCAGGAACGCTTTCCTGAAAAAAAAAGCAAAATAGCAAGTAATAAAGCAGTTGGAAAATTTTCTTTAAAAGGCACAATATGTAAGATTTTTTTCATAAAAATACCAAAACAAACAAACAAAGAATAAACACTTGCACATGTTCAAATATACAGAAATAAGTGATTTAAACTAGTAACATGGACTGTGCTCTGTTTTGTCATTCTATTGACGCACTATACATTTTTGTGTTGGTTTTTTAGAAAACACTTTAATATTTTGTGCTTATTAATTAGACTGCAGCATTGTAACAAAAATTTTAAATCTATTTAGTATGATAAATCAGTTATGATTCTTCCCAACATGATAGGAAAATCCAAAAGTTGTAGACTAAGGCATAATAAAAGCTGTGGTTATTGGGAAAAAGCATTGTTGATGCTTGTAAACATGTCTAGTCATAATTTGATGTTTAATTATATAAGAAGAAATAAGTAATATTTTATAACTATACTTGCACTATTTGATTTGATTCGATTGGTTTAATAACCTGCTAATTTAAAACTTTTTTTGGTGAATACATGGCTGTAAACAGGCCCATTGCTTCAGTTCTCTGATGTTTCTGACTGAACTTTTAAAGTAAAGACCCCAATGCAACGGGGACAACACTCAAAAATATTGATACAGTTAGGTCTATAAATATTTGGAAATCCACACAGTTCTAATATTTTTGGCTCTATACACCAATGCAGTGGATTTGAAATTAAACTAGAAAGATGTGCTTTAACTGCAGAGTGTGAGTTTTAGTTTGAGGGTATTTGCGTCCAAATCAGGTGAACGATGTAGGAATTACAACAGAGTGCGTATGTGCCTCCCACTTGTTAAGGGTCCAAACCTAACTGGACAGAATAATAATCATGAATCAAACTTTAAATTTTAAATACTTGATTGCAAATCCTTTGCAGTCAATTACAGCCTGAAGTCTAGAATGCATATACATCACCAGACACTTTTTCATTCCAGGTTTCATTCCTGGTGGTGCTTTGCCAGACCTTTACAGCAACTGTCTTCAGTTCCTGCTTGTTCTTGATGCATTTTCCCTTCAGTATTGTCTTTAGCAAGTAAAATGCATGACTGACTTGGCCATTGCATAACATTCCACTTCTTTCCCTCCAAAAAAAATCTTTGGATGGTGTTGCAGTAATCTTTGGGTCATCTTCCACCTGCACTGTAAAGCGCTGTTCAATGAGTTCTGAAGCTCTCTTCCCATCACTATGGTACAAGTTGATCTTGGTCTCATTTGTCCATAGGAAGTTGTTCTAGCACTGTGAAGGTTTTTTTTTAAACTCTAATCTGGCCTTCCTGCTTTTCAAGCTCACCAATGGCTTACATCTTGTGGTGAACCCTCTGTATTCACTATGATGTAGTCTTCTCTTGATTGTTGACTTTGACACACATACACCTACTTCCTGGAGAGTGTTCTTGATCTGTCCAACTGTTGTGAAGGGTGTTTTCCTCAACAAGGAAAGAATTCTCTTTTCGTCCACCACAATTGTTTCAGTGGTCTTCTGAGTCTTTTGGTGTTGCTAAGCTCACTGGTGCGTTCTTTCTTTTTTAGGAATGTTAAACACAGTTGTTTTTGCGAGGCCTAAGGTTTTTTTGCTGTCTCTCTGATAGGTTAGTTTGGTTTCTTCAGCCTAATAATGGCTTGCTTGACTCATCTGGAGTGTTGACAGTAACAGATTCCCAATGCAAATAGCACACTTGAAATGAACTCTGAACCTTTTATCTGCTCATTGTAATTGGGATAATGAAGGGATACACACTTAGCCATAGAACAGCTTAGAAGCCAATAGCCCAAATACTTTTGGACCCTTAACAAGTGGGAGGCACATATGCAAACTTTTGTAATCCCTACACGATTCACCTAATTTGAATGTAAATACCCTCAAATTACAGCTGACAGTCTGCAGTTAACACACATCTTGTTTGGTTCATTTCAAATCCATTGTGTTGGTGTATAGAGCCAAAAATGTTAGAATTGTGACGATGGCCAAATATTTATGGACCTAACTGTATATATTTGCTGCTTTTGTAAATTACCTATTTAAAATGAGCTGAATCAACTGAGTTTTTTTGTTGTTTTTGTATCTTTATTTCCATCAAATTTGTAAAAAACAATCAAGTTAACTTACTTGATTTGTGTTGGGACAACATGAAGAACCCAGCTTTTTACTGTGAAGATTTGATAGGTGAATACTGATGCGGACAAAGTATTGTGAATGTTTGTGTGAAGTTCGGATAGTGGGTGCTAAAAATTATCCGAGGGACTCAAGGGGAAAAAAGAGCCACCCACATTTAGTGAAAACATTTTGTCTGGTCAAGCTTGGTGTGTGCACCAAGGTTTCAGTGTGAATGTTGCCAAACAAATTCACAGTTCATTTTAAAATTAGTGTGCCACAGAAATATACATGTACATAACCACAGAACCATACATGAAACATAAGTCGGTCATGAAGATGAAAACTCTCATAATCCCTCACTCAGTCATGGCATAATTAACTATGCCTTTGTTTGTTTTTGTTAATACACACCTTCTAATGGCGAATACTGTGTCGTAACATTTGTGTGCTATCTTCAGACTTTTACCTGTGTTTGTATCCTCTCAGGACTTTCTGAATAAGGAGTGCCTTTTCGTTAAGAGCCTTGTCTCGAGCCAGCTCCAAAACTGTATCGTGAAAATCCTTACAAAAATAAGTATCATGTTAAAATTTGTCTCTTTCAAAATACACTACTGGTCAAATGTTTGGGGTCAGTAGGATATTTAACTGTTTTAAAATAAGCTTACCCTGCTCACCACAGCGGCATTTATTTAATAAAAAATACAGTAAAATTTTGAAATTGTGAAATGTTATTACACTATAAATTAACTGTTCAAAAGTAGTTTAGAATTTAATTTAATAATTTATTCCAGTTATTTTGCAGATGAAATTTCAGCTTAATTACTCCAGTTTTTAGCGTCACATGATCCTTAAGAAATCACTCTAATATTCATTATTATTATTATTAGTAATATTATTATTAATAATGGTAATAGTAATAAAAGCAATAACGACTGGAGTAGTAATTTTATTTGAAACTACATACATTAAGAAAGCAGTTATTTCAATTTTTATAAATACTTTACAATTTTTTTTTATTTAATAAATGGTGTCGTTAAGAACGGAATTATTGTCTTAAAAAAGAAAGAAAGAAAAATCATGAAAAAAAAAAAACTGACCCCAAACTTTGAACCGGTAATGTATGTGCGGTACAAGTAGTACAAATCACCTCTTTACCTTCAGAAACACTTTTGTCTTGCCGATCTTCCAGTCATCTTCAGTCAGGATGATCTTGCAGATGCTTTCACAACATTTCTTGACAGTCTCCTTTAAAATTAGTTATATTGCATTGTTAATATGAAGCATCTTTATAAAAATCCCATTTGAAAACAAAATTTCCCAAAATATCTTATGGCCATATAAATATTTAAAGATGCTTTAATTGATTTTAGTCTTTCTGAAGTCACGTAAGTCTGAGACTGGTTGCACTGCAGTCAGAAGGTATGGATATTTAAGATTGCCTAAAAACTTTGTTAAAACTTAAAAAAAAAAAACAATTCCCCAATTCATCGTAGAACTATTGTCTATGTTGTTTTGTACTTCATGACATACTCAAATGACAGTAAATACCACCACAATGCAATCACATGCCAGATGTCCAGTAGCTTTACCATAGCAGTACATAATGACAGAATATAAGGATAATCTCAAGATCTATCGCAGATCTATCGATCAATGTTGCAGTTGTGCTTGTTCAAGTGGAGAACACATGCTCCGTGACCTACTTTAGAAATGTTTTTAAAGGTACTAACCAAAACATGGCCAAAAATCTAAGTGCTGTACTGTTTACATGTATTTGATATTGTTGATCTTCACCTGAAACAGTTGATCAAACCTGAACTTTTAACTCTAGGCATAATACCTGTGGTTATAAATGAGCATAAAAATTGTTTCAAGAGAATTTAAGTAGTTACCTAAATCACATACCTTCTGTGTAAATATCAGAGAAACAAATAAAAATATTGAATCAATGCATTATGGCACCTTTAAACTTTAAAATAACTTTAAAACCTGTGACATGGTGAATTAAACAACTGCAACACTAATGTATTTAAAAAAAACAATTAAAAACTATTTAAAGCAACTCTCACAGTTTGGGGATCACAAACTGTGGACTTGAGGAGCACACGGTAACGCTCCAGAAACTCATCAAATGTGTGGCGGATGGGATATCCAGCCTTCCTGATGCGGATAGTCTCCATCATTCCTGAGTAACGAAGCTGACGGATACACAGCTCCCTGTCAAAGAGCTGAAGCAAAGATAGAAAAGTGGGTCATTCTGAGAAAATTGAGGCATGTATACTGTGGAAGAACAGATTAAATGATGAACTGAACCTACCATAGGCTTCTTGAAGTCGTTGGGTTTAATGCAGCGAATGAAGAAAGGCTGACAGGCAGTTAGAGTCTTCATCAAAGAGTCAAGCGACTGGCGAAACTGACCAGTTAATGTTGGAACTTGCTTCTTTGTGTCTGCTGTTTGCTGATGGGGTGAGAAACAAAAGGGAATGCAAATCAAAGTAATTTAAATCAGAGTAAATGTGTTAATTGTGGCAAAAGATAAAGGATGACCAATATTTATCCATGGTTTTGAGCTGCTATGTTGATATTAATTAATGACCCAAATGCTAATAAACAACCCATATTTATATCCATATAGCCTTAAGCTGCTGTTAACCTACCCGAAGTGAGCTTTTTGGGGTGACGATGGTGTGGTTGATGCTAGTTTTCCCCTCTATGGTGCTGATCTCACTGTGGAATATCTGCTTCAGGAGCTTATTGGAAGATGTGTGTATCAACTGGATGATGTCACTACTCAGAGCATCTCGGTTCTTCTCAAGGAAACCTATATGCACAGTAAATTTCATAGACATAGATCATTTAAACGCAAAAAAAAAACAAAAAACAAAAAAAACACATAGATGTGAAGTCAGAGTACCTTTGGAGTCATAGTGGACAACTCCAGCAAAATGCCGGATTCCAAACTGTGTCTCGTGATTGTTCTTTGGGGGCATGTAGATATCACCCTTTCCATGATGCTGATTCATCTTGTTGAGCATTGTAGCATCTGTGCCCTAGGTTAAAGAAAATAAATAAATAAATCAGAAACACCAGTATATCCGTTTCAACTTCACAAATTAGACAAAGGTCCATGGAGCAGAGTATATACAGGAATCAGAGAGTGAAATTGAATACCTTTTAAGACCTTTTTTAAACTCTTTTAATATACAATAATTACAATTATTTTGGCCCACCAAAACATAAAAAGTAATTACTTGCTTCACTTGCCATGTTATAAATTGTACATAATATTGCATGTTTTACACAATACTGAAGGTTAATGAATTTCAATGAGGTTACTTTTGTTTTGTTTTGTTTCATTTCAAATCCATTGTGTTGGTGTATAGTGCCAATAATATAAAAATTCTGTCGATGTTCAAATATTTATGGACCTAACTGTGTGTGTGTGTGTGTGTGTGTGTGTATATATATATATATATATATATATATATATATATATATATATATATATATATATATATATATATATATATAATTATATAATTATATAGTTGAAGTCAGAATTATTAGTCGCCTTGTTTATTTTTTCCCCAATTTCTGTTTAACGGAGAGAAGATTTTTTCAACACATTTCTAAACATAATAGTTGTAATAACTCATTTCTAAAAACTGATTTATTTTATCTTTGCCATGATGACAGTAAAAATATTTTACTAGATATATTTCAAGACACATCTATACAGCTAGGTATATCTATTAACTAGGTTAATTAGGTTAACTAGGCAGGTTAGGGTAATTAGGCAAGTTATTGTATAATGATGGTTTGTTATGTAGACTATAGAAAAACAAATAGCCTAAAGAGGCTAATAATTTTGTCTTTAAAAAGGTGATTAAAAAAATAAAAAATGCTTTTATTCTAGCCAAAATAAAACAAATAAGACTTTCTCCTGAAGAAAAAAATATTATTATCAGACATACTGTGAAAATTTCCTTGCTCTTTTAGACATAATTTGGGAAATATTTAAAAAAGAAAAGAAAATTCAAAGGGGGCTAATAATATTGACTTCAGCTGTATATATATAAAACACACTCAAAGGGCTCTATTTTGACGGTCCATGCACAGAGCGCAAAACGCAGGGCGCAAACGCTTTCAGGGTGTGTCAGGACGCGTTTTTGCTAATTTAAGGGCGGGAAATCTGCCTTGCGCCGCGGCGCATGTTCTAAAAGGGTTGAGTTTATTTTCTTAATGAGTTATAGGTGTGTTTTGTGAATAAACCAATTAGAGTCTCATCTCCCAATCCCTTTAAGAGCCAGCTGCGTCGCGCCAAGAGAGCATTCGCTATTTACAGGACGCAAAGTAAGTCTAAGTGGAAAAAATGAGCATTTCATAAGCAAACAGTTAACAGTTGACAGTTTTTTAACAGAAAACTGTTAAACAGAGCATCTACTGCGTGAGAATGAGAGATCACTTTCACTTTCGCTTTTGGATAGTGAAACCTTTACGCACAGACATCAATTAGTCTATAAATAAATACTTTAGTTTGTTAAGCGCAAATATTCGTTTCAAAACTATTTCTAAATTCAGTTCTAATTTCCAGCAAACTAATAAATGAATAATAATAGCAAAATGTGCTCAAAAACCTGAGTTATATCCTAAAACACATGCTTTGCCCCATATGGTCTAAAACCTGACAGGTGGGCAAATCTAAGCTTGTTTTTAATAAAACAAATATAAATATGGATATAATAAATGATACTGCTAATAATAATAACATTATACAAAAGCAAATTGTTATGAATGAACTGAAAAAGCCTCCCGAGATGAAGAAGACATAAAAGCAGTGGTTTTTCATATTTATGGAGGCTAGAAAATAATTTGTTTAGTAATATTTTAATCCTTTATATTTATATTCTATATCTATTCTTATTATATCCTATATATATATCCTCAATATTTACATTTTTTTCATATGTAAAGATATTTGCCTATTGCTCTCTTGTGGGTATTAAGCAGTGCGTAAGCGAGGCGCAACTCTGCGCCGGAGTTTAGACCGGGTTAGTTTTGGTCTAATAAAAAATCTATTATAGATTCTCAAAATAGCAACGCGCCAGCGGTCCGCCTCAGAACGCCTTCCTTTGTAGACCAGAACGCCTATGGGTGCAAAAATTAACGCTAATGCATTTGCTATTTAAACAGCGTAGCGCAACGCCTCAAAACGACTCTTGCGCCAAGCTAAAACTAGCAAAAGACTACTGCGCCACGTTTTGCGCCACACTGCACCGGGTGTATGATAGGGCCCAAAAAAGGCCTCTTTGGTTTGAGAAAATGGATGCTCTTTGCATTAACACAGTGAATATGATCCCAAAAAAGACATGTACAAGGATGTCAACTAGGATGCAAAATGTTTAAATAAAACCAACTAAATGCATTTTTAACTGTATAAAAATACTGAAACATACAGTATTAAAAATTGTCAAAATATTAGAAATCTTTAAAGAAAATTTTATAACTCAATCTTCTACTTTAAGGTAAACAAACCTTAGGAAAGCGACTCTCTTCATCAATAAGGGAAAGAATGTTGAGAGACTTTATGGCCAAAACATCGAGTGTGCTCTGGTTGTCATTAAATTCGATGTTCTTCCAGACTATGTCTTCACGAGCATACTCCTGTTGTTCAAGCTTAAAGACGTGTTTCACAAAGAACTGCTGAAGCTGCTCATTGGCAAAGTTGATGCAGAGCTGTTCAAAGCTGTGGAAATCACAGACAGAAACAGCAGTTCGCCTTAAAATCAAAATCATGTTCTCACACCATCTATGTACATACATTTACTTCACAAACCTGTTGTTTTTAAAATTTTCAAAGCCAAAAATGTCCAACAGGCCGATGGAATGTCTGACATGTTTGGGGTCATCAGAAGGCGGTTTGTAAATGGCACTGTTGATTTTGGTCACAATCCACACAAACAGCCTTCCGTAGATGGCCTGCACAGAGAAAGAAGATGAGAAGAGAAGATTATTCAGATTCTGGACAATACAAAATCTGACAACAAATAAAAAAAAAATTAAAAAAAAAAACAGGCCTACAAACCAACCTTCACAAAGGCGTCCCTGCCATCCAATGCTTGTGCTGAGGTCAGAGGTTTAGTTACACTCTCTCTGTTGGTCATCAGAGAGCGCTGTGTCAAGCTTGCATCCAGGGCATTTGGGGCCACCTGCATTAGATCAAGAACAAGATCAAGATCAAGATCAGAATCAGGATCAGGATCAGAATCAAGATCAAGATCAAGATCAGGATCAGGATCAGGATCAGGATCAGGATCAGGATCAGGATCAAGACCAAGACCAAGACCAAGATCAAGACCAAGACCAATATCAAGAACATTAGAAGAATAAGAACTAGAAATCAGACCTATTTGATTTAGCATGCCATTGATGGATTAAAGGTTATAAATTATATATATACAGTGATGGTCAAATTTATTAATACCACTGGGCACTTAAGAGATTTCTGTTGATTTTGTTGAATTGGCCTTTGCAATACCCATAAGACTAATGAAATAACTACAAAGTCTTCATTATGCTCTACAAAACACATATACATAATAAAGTGATTTAGGTAAAAAAAAACAAAAAAACTAGGCATAGTTCACAGATAATTTCACACAATTATGTTCTTTCAAGTATTCTGAAGAACATCAAGTTCCCAGGAAATATACTGTTTTAACGCCAGTAGATGTGCTTTTACAATTGCTGCAAAAGGTGGACATACTAAATATTATTATTAAATGTAAAAACATCTGCACATCGCATGAACATTATGAAATTAAAACCAGTTTTGGAGACAAAAAAGGTTAATGTATTCATATCTGTCAGCTGTTCTATTAATTTTGGCCATCATTGTATTTGTTTTCTGTTACCTCTAATAACTGTGTAGCCATTTTGAAATGTGTAGAAGATAGAATATCGCAGCCCTCAAGGTTGTTCATGATGGTTTCTTGAAAATTTGTGAAAAAAGAAAAAATACATTTAATTAGCATAATAAATTGGAAGCTCAAGTTTATCTCTTTTTGAATGATAATTTTTCTTCTCACCTTCAAAGTCTACGTTTCCCAGGTGCAAGATGGAGGCCAGAAGCTTGTTAATTTCCCATGTGTCATTCTCTGTGAATGTCAGGATCTTCATTGCAGAACGAAAGCTGGCGTACTCTTTTATGTCGTCCCGCCCTTCACACGAAGTGCACTTACCCTAAACCAATACAAAAACAATACAAATAAAACATACCCCTGTGAAATTTAAGTTTGTTTTTAAATAATAATTTCCAAGTGCTGTTTGATGGAGAGATTTTTTTAAACACATTTTTAAAAGATACCAGTTTTAATAACTTATTTCTTTTGTCTTTGCCATGTGAGAGTTAATAATATTTGACAAAACTCAAAGTGCAATTTAAAGGCTTAACTAAATTAATTAGGTCTTTGGAAAAGATAAGAGTGTTTTTTCTGTAGCTAATTCAAAAACATTGTTAAGGGGGAGTAATAATATTGACCTTAAAAACTGCATTATAGAATTGACTGAAGGATGATTTTCCGTCTGGAGATGAATGACATGATATTGCAAAAAAGGTGTACCCTTCTCTAAACCCTTGTGCACTGTTCAAGTTTACTACCCTTTTGTTATGTTCAGGATGAAATCATCCACTAAATTAAACCGCTGTAAAAATGCATCAGATAAATGTTCTTTTTTTCACATTTTTTGCATTAATCTGTTAATAAATCTTAGTCCTGATCAAAACTACTAAATTGCTTAGAAAATTAAAGGATTTTAACTCTTTTATTGCCAAATACAACATTGGCTTTGATGCATTGTTAGATTTTAAATTTTTCTCCCTAATTTACTGTTGGTGACTGTTTTTGCCCCATTGACTTCCATTATAACCACATTTGGTGTTGCATAAATACATAGTCTTTGTTTTTATTTACTCCATGTAGTTCTGAGAGCTGAGATGCATAATTTGATTTTCTCAGACACATCAAAGTAAGTGCGCAAAGGTCACTTTTACACTTATAGACACACATACACACACTTTTATTTGCTGTTATACTCCGTATAAAATCCAGAAACATTTTTGCACAGGCCTATCTAAAGGGTTAATGATGCCAACTGATGATCAACAGTAAAATTGACAAATTTTACCTCTTCCCAACAGAGTAAACCACCAATCATCAAAAATTCATGACTATATTGTCATGGTTTTGTTATAAAAAAAATTTATTATAATAGAAGTCAATGGGGCAAAAAACAGCCACCAAAAGTAAAAATTAGGGAGATCCATTCATTCATTAATTTTCTTATCGGTAATTTTCTTAATCCGGAGTCGCCACAGCGGAATGAATAAACTTATCCAGCAAGTTTTTTACGCAGCAGATGCCCTTCCAGCCGCAACCCATCTCTGGGAAACATCCACACACATTCACACACACTACTGACAATTTAGCCTAACCATTTCTCCTGTACCGCATGTCTTTGGACTGTGGGGGAAACCGGAGCACCCGGAGGAAACCCACGCAAAAGCAGGGAGAACATGCAAACTCCACAGAGAAACGCCAACTGAGCCGAGGTTCGAACCAGCGACCTTCTTGCTGTGAGGCGACAGCACTACCTACTGCGCCACTGCCTCATCAAATAGGGATTTTTTTTTTTTTTTTTAATTCAGCCAAAAACAATGCATCAAAGGCAATGTTGTTTCACATGTCCAAGACTGTTATAAAAGGTAAAAAAATTCTGTCCACAATTACTTTTTATATTGAAAATTTGTTAATTTGTGTGAGTTTTTCACCAAACCAGTGACATTATAAAAGAATTTGGTAGTTAAAGAGTTAAAATAGTAGAAGTTTCATTGTAAAATTTGCACAGAGTGTATTGTGGAGTTTTTAACACAATTTAAAGCATTTTTTTCTAAATCTGTATCAAAATAAGATTTGTCACCAAAAATCATCGTGCTAGCTAAAACACCGAAAACGTTATGGCCAAATTAAAACTCAAAATCACTCCAGAGTGGATGAAAACACCCCCCCCCCCCCCCCCCCCCCCCAGCACAAACAGTTTAAGACAACAATAGTGTGAAATGTATCCATACAGGGGAAAATGGTTTAAGAGAAATTAAAATCAATTAAAAAATATTTTCCTTCAGCTGTATATGTTTATTCTCTCTCTTAAGAAAATTTTTCACGAAAACATAAATGGACATGAAAAGTTGGAGTAGCAATCAAGATATAGATCAATACCATGGTGAGATAGTTGTATTCTGCAGCATTTCCCAAAGACAGGATCTTCTTTTGGTCAGCAGGCATTCCCATGAGCATACAGTAAAAAATGTGGTAGTTCCTCTCTTGCGATGCCTGTGCAAACAAACAGTTAGACATTTTATTCACTGCACCTTGTCCAGAAAGATTTGACAACATTATACAACCTAATTATAATCTCATATCATTGTGCTTTACCTGTCGGCAAACACGTGACTTTTCGAGTAGGTACTGTTCAATGCGAGCACCCTCTATTGCTCCACTTTTATTAAAGTGGATGTCGATGTATTTTCCGAAGCGGCTGGAGTTGTCATTGCGGATGGTTTTTGCATTACCAAAGGCTGCAAAATAAAAATTTATGATGGGTAACACTTTATTTTAATGGTCCATTTGAGTATTAGTAGACTGTCTGCGTAATATTTGTTCATTCTGCTCCTTTAACAGACATTTAATTGACTATTAAAAAAACACTTTGCAAGTACATGTCAACTTACACTAACCCTAAACCCAACCTAACAGTTTACTTATAATCTAATGAGAATTAGTTGGCATATAGATGCAATGTAATATTAATTCAACAAATGAACCATTAAAATACAGTGTGACCCTGACATGTTTACTGGAGGAAATATAAGGAAGATGTAAGTGTATGTAACTGTACCTTCTAAGATAGGGTTGGCCTCTAGAACTTGCTGCTCAATCCAGGAGCGCTGACCACTCACGGCTGCAAGAAACTGCAGCATGAGTTTGGTACTCTCTGTTTTCCCTGCTCCAGACTCCCCACTGAAAAACACAACACATGCAGGCGCTCTCAGAAAGCATCAAACAGATTACACCAACAATGCATGACAGATGTCAGAGTGAGACTGAGGTTGTCAACATAAACGGCAAGTTCATTTTGGAATGATGTTTGCACAGCTGCCAACTGTACAGAAAACCTGAGATTTACAGTCTATGAAAAATGCTTTTCTTACCAGTTTTTGTCTTGTTTATAGTCCAAATATCTAAAAATACTTAAATCAAGACGCAATTTCAAGACAAGAGAAAGATACGGTTTTGTTTTCAGAAACGTCAAATCTAGGGGCCCTATCATACACCCGGCGCAATAAGGTGCAAGACTTGTTTGCCCTGACGTGTTGCTATTTTTAGAACAACGCAACCTTAATTTTCCTGTTTTCTGCACCGTTATTTAAATAGCAAATCTATTTGCGCCACTTTGTGGACTCATGGGTGTTCCGGTCTAGAAAGAGGGTGTGTTAAAGTGCATTGTTGGCGTGTTGCTATTTTGAAGAACTAAATTAGACTGCAGGTCTAAAGTCCAGGAAAACATCTTAGTTGTGCACCTTGCTTACACACTGCTTAAAACATGCAGGATGTACAGCAATACACAAATATATTTACAAAGGAAAAAGAATTAAAAGATTAAAATATTACAAAAATTATTATTTTCTAAATAAATTTAAAAAACACTGCCTTTATGCCTTCTTCAACTCGGGGGACCTTTTTTTTGTTTATTTATGACAATTTGCTTTGGTATAATGTTAATATTAGTAGTAGTATTATATGCATATTTATGTTTGTTTTATTATAAACAAGCTCAAATTTGTCCACCTGTCAGGTTTTGGACCATATGGGGCACAGCACATGTTTTAGGACTTAACTCAGTTGTTATTATTGTTCATTTATTCGTTTGCTGAAAACTAGAACTGAATTTAGAAATAGTTTTGAAACAAATCTTTGCACTCAAAATTAATTATGTAGGCTAATGGATGTCTGTGGGTACAACATGTTTCCTTATCCACCTAAGAGAGAAAGAGAAAGTGAAAGTAAAGGCAGAATAGAGGAGGCTCAATCTTTATCTTCGCGCTGCAGTTTTCTCGCAAGTGAAGCGTTTAGTTTTTCCACTTACAAATTCTGCCATGTAAATAGCAAATACGCCATGGCGCGACGCAACTGACTCTTAAAGGGAATGTGAGATGAGACTCTGATTGGTTTATTCTTAAAACACACCTATAACTCATTAAGAGAATAAGCTCAAGCCTGTTAGACCATGCGCCGCAGAGCAGAGCGTATTTTTCCATCCTTAAAATAGCAAAAGGGGATTCGGACACGACCTCAATGCTTTTCAGCCTTGTACTTCAGACTTTGTGCATAGATAATTAAAATAGAGCCCTAAGTGTTTTTCTTTAAAACAAGCAAAATAGTCTACTAATGCACACCAAAAAATATATATATTTTGCTGCTTCTCAACAAATTATGTAACATTAGCTCACATTTTCTCAATTGCTAAAACACTAAAATCCACTAACTGAACCAAGTTCATAGTCACCTGAACTTATTTAGCTAAATGTGCAGTCTGTTGTCAATTCCTTAAACCATTTCACATGCTAAAACACAAGGTGCAGACCATACTTAAACATTTCAACATAACTTTAAACACATTCTCAAAACACATTCTGCACTCTAATGCACATCATCCATACTGGTAAACACAAGTAGCAACAGTCAAATACAAACAGAGAAAAGATGTCATTGATTACACACAACCACTCAAAATTGATGTCACGTTTTTCAAATGATGTGACACAACCGATATAAGCAAACAGGCTGTTAAAGGTGGGAAGGAGAGCATGGTTAGAAGAACAATGTGAGAGGATGAGTACAATGGGCAGCTTATGAACTTGTACCTCCCTCCATACCTGCCTTTCCTGTCTCCAATTGAGGAGTTTTATGGAAAGTGTATGACCCTACACCAGAGTAGACCTGTTGCAAGTCATGGATTTAGCATGCGGTGATATAGGTGAGGAATCACCCAAGTCATGGATTTAGCATGTGGTGACATAGGTGAGGAATCATTTCAGTGCTAGATACGGCACACAAGAGGCTTCTTCCACCATTGCTTCAGGAGAGACAATATTGTGTGGGATGTCGAAAAAGTGTTCTGGCCTGACCCAGCCAAAAGACAAGAAGAAGCTATTTGATCATGTTTCCACCTTTGATTTTTGTCCCTTTTAGTATTGTATACTGTAGTATAGTGCATGGTAGACTCTACACTGTACAATGAAAAAATTGCATGGCCCTGAATATTGAGAATCAAATTGTTCTGTGTTTAATGGTGTAAGGAAATGGAGCATGGGTTCAGAAATTGTGTTTCAAAGATCGAGAAAAACTGTAACAATTCTTGAGCTTTTTTTCAGCACATTTTAATTGTTTTATATTTTAGCCACTTTTTTAAGTTAACTTGTGTTGCGACAACCTGAATTGTGTGAAACCTTGCATTTTTTACAGTGCGGGGAAAGCAAAATAATCTTGTTTTTGCTTTGAAACAAGATTTTTATTGTTTTCTCCATTGGCAGATTTTTTAGCTTGTTTTAAGAAATTTGACATATATTCTTGTATCTTCTTTTCTGTTCAACAAAAGAAATCAAACAGGTTAGGAAGGAAAAGAAAGAGTGGGTAAAAGCTGGTCAAAAGCAGAGTCAAAAACTGTCAAAGACAACTATGCGCAAAAAAAACTATTAATAAGCCAAACCCAGAAGACCGGATGACTTGTAGCTCCACTTGCTCTGACGAGTGCTAGTGCGATCACAAGGTGCATCATTGTTTTCATAGCAAAAGTGTGAAGATGTTTTTTTAGGCTGAAAGAGAAAGTTGTTCTGTTACAGAAGCAGGTATTATATAATTTTATTCTCTCCTTTTCAAATTATTTTATGTATAGTTTAACATTTTGCTTATTATTATTGAATATTTACAAATGTTCAAGATTGTCTCTTCTTAATTTTATCACAATGGTATTTATAGATTAATTATACAAGTAATATTAGTTATTCACCTTCATAATCTTGTTCAATTCCCATCTCTATACCAATTAGTTATTACAATTAGTAATTTTACATTCAGTTTTTTTATACCAGTGGCCAGTCCACTGGATCAGAGGGCCTACTGACCACCTCTGGACGCACTGCTCTCTGGTTAAGGAAAGGCTTACCTCATCAAACCAGTCATCTCAGTCCCCAGTGAAAGATTTATTTTTTTCAACAGGGAAAGTTATAAATGTGCAAAGATCTCAGCTTATTCCAAAAAACAAAAATATGCTGATATTTAATTCAAATAATGTAAAACCCCAGCACAGTCTTAGTTTTATATTATGAGCCTTCTTTAGTTTATATTATTCTTTTTTTCATCTTTCATCTTTTTTATCTTTTATCGTGAATCATATCGAAATGTGAGTCGGTACATCCCAAATTCCCAATTGCCTACACTGAAAATAAGTATTTAATAACTAGTTTCTTATCATCCCCGATTTATATCATAAATGATTTAGCAAGGTGTGAGCTGAGATTAATTTATGAATGAATAAATAAATAAAAATAATTAATTAATGAACAAATGAATGAATGCAGAAATAAGTCCAAAGTCCTAAATCATTCATGTAATTATTCAGACCTTTCAGTTTCAATATGTGAAAGCAAAAATATTCCTCGACAACACAACTAACTACAGGCAAGTGTAGATTTAGCTAAGGATTCAAAACAAAACATTAATAAGCATATAAAACCATTGAGAAGGCTGCACACTTTAACTGATAAGTTCATGAACCTCATATGTAGAGTTCAAATTCTTTAATATATTTGGAGTGACGGATAGTGTGATCGTTATGTAGCTATTGAGATTTTTTTATAAGTGATTTTGGTGCTGAATTTGTTTCTTTTATTAAGCTAGAACCATGGGAAAAAATGGATGCATGTGTTTATGTGCTTTAATCACAGGCTGTAGTAAACTCTTCCAATAAAATTAGAGACGACCACTGCATAGTGATATATGCAAAAAGGCTACCTACAGTAACGTAGCTAGCTTGAGCAACTGTTTATTAGATTGTATAACTTCAACAGATGAGTTAAAAATGTAACGGTTTGGCTTTGTGAAATTATGCTACATGAAACACATTTGCAGAAAACAGTCAAGGTCAAATTCTCTGGCTTTTTGCTGACTTTTGAATAAAATTCTGAATTACCTTCAATTATTATAAAATTGCTTTTACAATATTAAATAGTTTGAGTTTAAATCATTTTGCATGAATTTTATATTTATCATGAGAACAACAATGGATCATTTACTTCTCATATTATGGAGCTTAAAAAACAGCAAAACAATCTGAATTTGAACTGTGTTCATTTTAAATAAATGATTGACGACTGTAATTGAATAAATCTGAATGTTATATGGGGTTAAACAGTTTTGAATTCAATATTTTAAAATTCAAAACCAGAAATTCAGATTGTAAAATTCAGAGGTCGGGGTAAGTACGAGGGAAGAGTAGATGACCACTGAAAAATAAAGCAGGTCAAGTGAAGTAACTACCCAGCAAGCTTTTTTTTTTTTTTTTTCAAAAAGAGGCCTAATAGATGTCTAGTAGACATCTAAACATAGTTGTCTTGGCTAAAACAAGGCTAGCTGTCTACGTTTAGATGTCTATCAGACGTCTATTAAACACATTATTGTTTGCTGGGTACATTTTCATTGAGCTTTATAAATAATTCTTATTGATTTAAGGACCATGCTCTGTGATTTTACATGCCCTACCACATTGTGGCTGACTTGTTGCTGTTCCCAACTGCTTCCACTTTGTAATAATACGACTAACAGTTGACCATGGAATATGTAGTATTGAGGAAATTTCACAAATGGACTTAGTGCACGGGTGGCAACATATCTCTGCAACACGCTTAAAATCACAAAGGCTGCATCTGAAATCACCTACTACTTAGTATGTACTACATTTAAATTCCAATTTACTACACAAAAGTATGTTCTATATAGTATGAATGTGAGCAGTATGACTGAAACTCAGACGTACTACATCCAAGATTTGTCATTATCTTGTGACCTACCTGCGCCTGTAAGTCACTCCCATTCATGAAATCACTAGCTTGGCATCCTCCATAGTATCCACAGGATACACACTTAAGAGTTTCGCCAGAAGTAGTAAGTCTTTCGGGTACTTTTCACATGCTGTTTTTCAAATTCTATTAATTCGGACATACTACTCCGCTCACATACTGTTTTTAACATAGTTTATGGTATAGAAGTATGCAATTTCAGACTCAATCTGCATTCTTGATTTTATACACCTGTGGTTTATACACAAGTGACTGGAAAAAAATGCAACTATTTGGATGGGGTCCCTAAGCCTCTAGCAGTATGTGTGTATATACACTGTACAAAATGTCAGTTGAAACCAACAATGAACAAGTGAAGTACCTAATGATGCAGCACTGGTCTTTGCGGTTGCGGCGCATGTTGAAGAAGCAGCTGTCAGCGATGGCGAAGACATGTGGAGGGAGATCACCCAACCGCCGGTCTGTGTACTGCTCCACCTGCTCCGGAGTGTAGATTGGCAGCAGCTGGTAAGGGTTCACTGCCACCAGAATGGACCCTGTATATGTCTGTCAAAACAAGTTCCCAGGATAAAAAATATTACTGAGAGTTGATGCAATAAAAGTCTATGAGGTTTCTGAAGTTGGCAGAATAAAATAATGAGATCTACATGTAATCACTCTGAATGTATTTTAATGACAATACAACATTGATGATGTAAAATAAACCTTATAAAATTAAAAATAGTCACATTAAGCTTTCACCATAAGTTTATCAGTGGCTGAAATACACTAGCTGTGCATATACCCCTTAAAATATTTTAAAATATAGTATGATCACTTATTATTTCATGCAATGAGCTCTTGTTTTATACAGCTGGACTTCAAGGTAGAAGGTTGGATTTACTATATAATGGTTATGTCAATATTGTATAACAGTTCAATCCACTCATTAAACTTGTAACTGGCTGTTACTAAGGTAACAATCTTGATGTAAAACAGAAAAGGACAAAGAACAGCTGCTGAAGGAACTGAAGCTGGTGAATTAAGTGGACAATTTAATCCTCATTTCCGTTATTTATGAGTTCACATATCTTAACGCTAAAAACTATTTTAATGAATATATTTATGTAAGCTGTAACTAAAGCTGACTATACATTAGTCCTCTCAAAGGAAGATTCAAGTCATGGCAGAGCTCACTATATAGTAAATAAATACTATAAAAAATGCATTCTATATTGAAACCCTTAGCTTCAAGCAATGAGACACTCGTCTTACCTATATAATTAAAACCTGACATTATTTCATATGAAATTGATTACACTATCTAATCATTGTTGGTAAGACTTCCTATATCAATCTCTATAACACCAGAGCTGAATTAATCTTGAGTCGTTTCAAAAAGAGGGTGACAACCATGATTCATCATATTGACTAATCATTAGTCAATCATTCTATATTGTGCTTTCTCGTCTATAGCACACACCATGTGCCATCTCGTCTATGATACACACCTCACAATAGAACCTGCCTTTTTTATAAGCTTGTTAAGTTTTCTTTTTCTCCACAATTGCCCCTCAACAACACAGGATCAGAGATGACTGCACAGAATCATACAGTAGAATGTCTTCAACAGTATCTCACACACACCAAAGAATCTCAGTCATCTTAGTAAATGAATGTGACTGTCAACAAGAAAAAAAAATAGTCACTAATGAGCGGGGCTTTGCCCCTCTGATATCATGTACAAAGATAGAATGTCAATCAAAGTGATTCTGCAGACTGTTTTCATCAAGTGTGATTAGAAAAAAATTAATTAATACATTTTTACCCTTAGAAGCTGATTATATTCGCAGATTGTTGCCAAACAACTGCTTAAACCACTTATAAAAGTGATTTTTGCATAATAGGTTGCCTTTAAAGGGATAATTCTTCCAAAAATGGATAATATGGATCATTTACTTTCCCTCATGTGGTTTTAAAACTTTATGAGTTTCTTGTTTCTTTTGATCACAAAAGAATATATTTTGAAGAAAGCTGGTATCCATCAACTTCCATAGTAGGTAAATAAATTACTAAAAAGTCCCAGCAACTTTCAGAAAATCTTCTGTGTTCAACAGATAAAAAGGAAAGTCAAAAGAAGTGAAGGCTAAGCAAAAATAACCACTTGATGCATTTTCATTTTTTGAGTGAACTGTGCCTTTATAAACTCACATAGATGGCTCCTTCTTTGTAGCGCACTAGAAGGTTTCGTAACAGTCCAGCCTCGTTCAGGTCGCCCAGACGAATCATATCATCCACACCATTCACTGAGGTGGGATGCATGGGCTTCAGAGTGCTCTCCTTCTTAATCTTGTGCTCCTGGAAGTCACATCGAGTACATCAAGTATTAGCTACAGTTCAGAGTCAACAGCAGCAGTTCACTCAGACTGACTGCAGATTTTACCTTTCCCTCATCGTCAATGAGCTGAAGCTGCCCAGTGTCTGAGAGTCGCACTTCAGCTCCTATTTGGACGCCATCACTGCAGTCTACCCACACATAATCTCCCTGAAAAGATTTATCAAAAAAGACAATTGAATCAACAGTTTATTAACTATAGTTTATGATATAACAGTTGTTGCTGTATTTTCTTTTATTTATGTATGTAGGTCAAAGACAAAAATGAGGTTTCAAGATTCAAAACAATAAAAGAATACTACAGATTTTTATACTGTTATTTTTGCTGTATATTAGAATTGTCCTATTTAATTTTATTTATACCTTTTTTAGCAAAATAACTATGATGCATTATCCACCCTGGAGTACAGAAGACATCCAATATAATGTAGTCTAATTCAGTGTGAAAAAAAAAGTTTATATACCAAAACATCATGTCAGGCATATTAGAACAATAAATATTATTTAAATGTGTATTTAAATATTGATAAAACCTTAAAAATCTAAATTTAAGGTTGACAATGTAGTCATAAAATATTAGTTAACATTAATTTTAAATGTAGACCGCTGACTTAGCCTATCTACATATTTCCCCCATTTCCAAAGATTTATTTAAACAAGCCACTGTCATATTAATCATCTGGTGCATGCCGTCTAGATGATTTGCATTTTTAACAATTTCTTCCTAATGTTTTTTTTTTTAAAAATGTGTTACTACTTTTTTCCTTATTTTATTTCTTTTTTATCCCTTTTTCTTAGTTTTGTATGTTTTTATTTTTATTTTTAATTTAGCTTTTTTCAAAGATGTAAATATGATTGTAATGTTATTTTGTCATATTTTTATTACATCTCAATAAAAAGATTGTTCAAAAAATGTACTTAGACACTATTCTTCAGACTACAATGTTACAAAATGTTTAAATTATTCATGTTTTTACTTGAAATATTATACAATTTAGTATAAACGCTTATTATTTTACATATTTAATAAGTAAAAGGGCAAAAAACACAGGTTTGTTTAATTTTGACAAATCCACAAATAACAACAAAACATTATTTAATGTTTAATAATAAAAATAATAAAAATGTTTAATAATAAAAATAAACTTTAACATGATAAATGAAAAGACTCTTTACTAGCATCTAATGTTTATCCAATGTGCATATTACACAACAAAATGGTATTTCTCATTTTTAACCATATGTACAGCTATTGAAATACATTTATGCAGATTTTAAAGTTGTGTTTGAGTAAAACATCATTTGTTTTATTTTGCAATCTTCTCATAACATTTCTTACAAATTTAAAATAAAAACGGTGTCTTTTATTTCTTTTTTATATATAAAATATTGCGTGAAATAATAAGTAGCAATCTTTTCAGCAATATATTCAGCTGTATCAACACAATACCAGTATTTTATCTATAGGAAAACTGAAAAAAGTATATACATTATTTATGTTTTTTTTTTTTTTACTTGAGAACCCTAAATTTCAATCACAACAAAAATGGCACTATTTTTTATTTTGATTATTTGTCCGCTGTTTCAAGAGCAATATTTAGATTTAAAATTTGGATTAAATTTGTTTTAGGACTTTACGGCATAAAACAAGCATTCATTTTTACATCCACACCTTGTAAATCCAGCAAATCCATAAACAGAGTAAAACGGATGTATTTGTAAATTAATGTTACAATAAAAAAACAACGATGCATACAATCAACGTCATACTATCTATAAATCAGTCATAAATGTGTGTGCTTCCTTATTACACTAATTTATTTTTGGACATTAAAGTATGAGTCAAATCAAAATTAGATACTTCAATTAACAGATAGTCAACAGGATTAATAATTTCAAGAGATAGTTCAACCAAAACTGACAATTCTGCCATTATTTACTATAGCCCTTCACTTGTTCCAAACCTGTTTGACGTACTTTCTACTGTTGAACACAAAAGAAAATACTGTGAAGAAAGCTGTAAGCCTGTAACCATTGATTTTTATAGTTTTTCCTACTATTGATGGTTCCTAGTTTTCAGCTTTCTTCAAATTATCTTATTTAGTTTTCAACATATAAGAAAACTCAAAATTTGGGACCACTTTATATGAGTGAGTATTTCTGAGTGAATTATTACTTTAATGTTAAGTTAGATTAACCAAAATTATAAACAAAATTGTGCTTAACGTTTAATTTGTGATGTCACAGTTACGCTTCAACAAACACTTAAAACAACTTGCCTTCCTTAAAACCACCATGATTGTGTCCTTCAGTCCCCCAGCCTGAATATTAAAGCAAAATGACATGTTAAAATCAATTATTGCCACGCAAAAGCCATTAACAGAGCTGATGAACAAAAGCAAAGGCCATCTTAAACACATTAGCTCAAATACAATTACATAATTGTTTCATTAAGTACTAAAGTATAAAACATAACTACAAAAATATAAGTACAAAATATGCGAACTTAATAATTTTTACAAATTTAAGTGGATTGAACATAAAACAATTAGGTTGTCTCAAAAAACAAACAATTGTGTTGTTTGTTGCTTGAACAAGCAGCAAAAGTCATTATTTGAGTGCATCTAAACATTTTAATCAATCAACCTTATCACTTCTAATCCAAGTAACCTTTACCTGTGTATATTTGGGGAAGTCTCCCTATGAAGAAGTGTTTTTTGGCCCTCTTCTCAGAAAGCGTTCGGTCGAAAGAAACGACCTCAGGTGCCTGCTCTGAAACAACAGCTATTTATGACACTTTGACTTTGCTCTCTAACTGACGCATCTCTAATGATACATACAAGGAAACTTGGACCTCTACATCAGAAAACATGAACAAAAAGAGACAAATACAGCCATTAGTAGACTGTAAATACCACAAAACACACTGGAGATTGAGAATAACAATTGAAAGCTTCAAAATAAAGTCTCTTATACAATGAAAGCTTGTAAAAATGTGATAAAAGCAATCCAGACATGAAAGGACACAGTGATGATGCAAATATCAGCTGCATATGGAAAGGTGGATAAAAAGTAAAGTAAACAAAATACAAATACTTCGTTTTACATAATGCTTTTTCAATGGTAAAGTTGAACCTTTGTACCTGCGTGACAGCATATGGAGGGCTGAGCTCTGATCATAAGGGGCAATCAAGTTGTAAACAGCACAGTGTCATAGTTACCCAGGGTGGAGCCCTTCTGGAAAGTCATATTTCCACTGCCCAATACTAAACTCCATTGAAAGGATGCGTAATGATTCTAGTTTATGTGGAGCGGTGCTTTTAGAAACCGAGCAATTGAACTGTGTCTGAACTGTGAAGGGAATATACTCTCAGATGAAACGTATACATCATTATCAGATTAAACATATTTGAGTTTAAAATATTTGAAGAATCTGGATCAGATATCAGACTTTCACAATCAATGCAGGAATGCTTGCTGTAATGACTTTTTCACAACATGAAGGTCATTTTCATTCATTAGCTACACATTAATCAAATAAAAAATATCCATAACATTTTGTTAGACCAACTAAAATGTAAAAAATTAATTATACACTGTAAAACCCAAAAAGTTAAGGTAACTCAAACCATTTTAAGGAAACCGATTGCAACAAGCCATTTAAGTTAAAAAATGAATCCTAATGAGCACTGTGAACTTAATCTATTTGAGTAAACAAAGCAATTTGAGCACAGCAAAACCCAATAAATTAAGAGAACATGAACCAACTGAGTACTGTAAAAATCAATACGTTAAGGCAACTTAAACCGATTGAGGAAACCGATTGCAACAAACCATGAGTAAAAAAAAAAAAAAAAAATCTATATAGGTACTGTGAACTTACTTCATTTAAGTTGAAGTAATGAGGTATTTAATTAACTCATGTTACATATTACGCCAGACTGCACACCACACACCAGCTGATTGGTGGAGAGGAGTGATGAAGCTAATTATGAATTAAATGCTGTAAATGAATCAGATTTATATATATAGATATATATATATATATATATATATATAGACACTGTTATTCAATGAACAAAAGACAACGCAGAAGATATTGGTGAGGAAATGAAGGCAAAACAAGGTGCAGCTTGACTAGTGTAACTCCATTCTCCAATGGGATTTTTTTTTTTTTTTTACTTTTAAGTTCATTTTAAAATTTTAAAATATGCACTACATTAGTTAATAAAAAACTATGTTTCTAGTTTATTTTTAAATTTTAAATGAATTAGAAAATCACCAATGGAAATTTTAAAGAAATATAGTTTGATATATTTACCTTCTGCCCACCACACTTAATCAAGTTTGGTTTTTGGCCCTTCATAAGAAAAAGTTTGGGCACCCCTGATTTAGAGCAAAAGAGAGCAAAAGAAAACAACAACAACAACAACAACAAAAAAACTAGTTGCTTATTTTGGATTGATAAAATGTATATTTTTCCACCTTCTTTAGCATATTCAAAACATGTAATGTTATAAATCTGTTCAAGCAGTAATGATCAGTCAAACAGCAGGCCAGATTTTCTACTCTGTAGCTGATTCCTCATTGGTTCTGTAGAAGGAAATATAGACACACCACTATCAACAAACTGACAATAGTTTAAGGTGATTGAAGTGACTTTGAACGTGGCATGGTTTTTGTGCCAGACAGGCTGGTCTGAGCATTTCAGAAGCTGCTAATCTACAGGGATTTTTATGCACAACCATCTCTGGGGTTTACAAAAAAAAAAGAAAATATCCAAAGAGCAGCAGTTCTGTGGGTAAAAATGCTATGTTGTTGCCAGAGGTCAGAGGAGAATGGCCAGACTGGTTCCAGCTGAGAGAAAGGCAACAGTAACTCAAATAACCACTCAATGTACTATAAAGTTTTTAAACTAGTGAATGCCATGGTCTAGTGTTATAAGGTTGTCTATGGTCATCTATTCAGTGTGCATTCATGACTTCAGACGGGTGGCTTTGGAGAGCAGGGAGGGATGTGTGTTCTAAATTATGCAATTATGAAAATAAAAGCTTAAATTGTGACAAAAAGTCACAATAACCTTTTATTTTTAAAATTTTTTGAAGGAAATGGGCTTCCAAAATTGTATGTACGTCAAAAAAAAAAAAGTTTTCACACAGGAAGTCTTATGAGGTGCATTCAGTGCCAAACATAATTGTTAAACGAGATGCTTTGTAAATGTATCCAGTTTTACTGCAATAGCACAGAATAAAGTACACAGAAAAAGTCAAAGAATGAAAAAGAAAATGTACAAAATAGCCAAATTATTATTCAAACGCAGAACAACATTCACTTAAAGTCTGTGAAACAGCTCAAATAGGACAGTGAAAACCACGACACTTCCATTTACAACAATCTTCTTACATTGAAACATAAAACAATCCAGACATTCTTAGAATATAAATTCACATAATTATACTGATTCTTTCAAGTACACATATTTCACTGCTTTGTACTATCATCAGTCACTAGAGCGCTTGAATGTTTACAGTGATTCAAAATAAAAACACTAACTAGAACGGTTAGAGGGCATAATATCTGGTTAGTACAAGACTATTAGCTTTGATTCATTTATTTTTTATCGTGGACTTAATTTGTTGACTTTCATGGGAGTGTTCATCTTTAACTTTTGTATTTAATGCAAGAAAAAAAAAATCCATGTTACAAGGCACCAAACATGGAAAGACCACACACTATTTTAAATGTGTGTGTGCAGTAAGTACTGTTGTGAACCCAACTAAATATAGGCATAACATCTAACAAACATGACCTTTCTGATCTTTAAAGTCCACTACGATAAAAGTGTTGCTCTACACATAAAAAAAAAAAAAAAAATCATAATAAGTCAACACAATGTTCTTTTAAAATGAAAAATTCTTCAGGGGAAAAAAAAAATCGAAACTAAAAGCATTGGTTATCCAGGCTGCCTCATGTCCAATGGACAGTCTGACAGCCCACAGTAAGCAGCAGTTCCTATAAAAATGGTTTGATGGTTTACGAAGGTCTATCTTTTTCTTTGAGACTGTAAAAGAAAAGTAGATGATTGTGCACAGCAACCTGATAAACCGTGACTGGTCCAGCTTTCCGGCGTTGGACTACGCTAAAGGAGAAGAGAGCATGGTTTGGCGTTTATGCCCGCTCTTTGCGCTTTAATTTGGAGCTCTTCTTAGGGGTTCCGTTCTTGTTGAGCAGCTTGAGGACTCTGTCTTTATGGTCTAGCACTTTCATCATGGTGTCACGAGCTTCAGTGACCTGATCCATCACAAGCTTGCAGCGCTGCATGTTACCCTGGACAGAGTCAAATCAAATGGTCACAAATAGATTGAAAATTTATTACAAATTATTAACAGTGTGCTGCTTTTAATATTAATACGTTTGAGAACCTGCAAAGGCATCCAACCAAGCAAATCCAATGTGTTCATGCACTGAGCTGTAGCTTATACATATATGGAGATTACGAGAGATAATAAACGGACTATTAATTGAATGGACCAAGAAGCAATGATGTGTTCAGCACAATGTTTCACGGCCATTTCAATTATGGTACTCAAAAGTTTGTTCATTAACCACACCATCAGCGACGGTCACAAACAGTTCTCACTTACAGCCCAGCAATGTTTTGTTGGTACTAAAGTATCAATTTTCCTTGTTCAGAATCAGTGATTTTGGTGTTAATTGATTTGGAACTAGGTTCTGGCTACGAGCAAGCATCTGGTTTGGTGCATGACCAGTCAGATCTTACAAGATGTCATGCCCCAAAATCTTGTCACACCCGTATGCAGAGTTTAGATAGCACAGTTTTCAAAATAGTCATGTCACAGATGTTTTTACACTGCATGACTGTAGAATTAAAAGAATTGCAGACAATTTTGTCTCGCCCCGCAAACACACGTGAGAAGTGACATGGAAACAACGCAAGGTTGTAGTATATCTTTTGTTATTAACTAGATAATGAGAAAGAAGCCTTTAGTGGGGTAGAAAATCTACTTATTTTGATAACTTGGCTTTTGAAAGGAATTAGCAATTTCTCCACAACTTTTTTCTTCTTCGACCCGGTTGGGATATTGCTCAGATGATACGTCAAACAGAAACGGGTGCTCCTGACAAGTTTCCACTTGTTTTCTCTTAATTTCTCGGGTCCAAATAGACCGCAAAGAAGCCCTTTTAACTTCTCCCCATCTTCCTGCTGGCCTGCAGATAGCAATACTAGTGGATGCTGCTTGATTTGAATCGCCAACAGGTCCAGATATTTAGCATTCCAAAAATCTCACGGATGTCAGCGACTCATCGGCAATCATCTTAGATTTCGTAGTCTATCATAGTTCATACTGTGTGATTGTTACTCGCATAAATGAGCACCGATTTGCCTTTGATATCAGGCATTTGTCCGCAATTTCTTAAATCCTGTCGGCAGGTCAAAATTCAGGGCTAAAATCAAGCAGTCTGAACTCAGCATTATCTATTAAACATTCTGCTGTTTCCACAAGTTCATCATTAAATAACTTGCTATTTATGTAAGTATTTGAAATGCTGCCTCAACTACAGCCTGTGGAAACCACTGAAAGGTTATGCTTGCTTTTTTATGTCTGAACAGGACATCTAGTTCCATGTTACTGCCAGAGTTCTGAATCATTTTTGCCTCATGATCTGAATAGAGAAAGAATAGGTCACATTAACATCATAAAACAACAAAATAAATAAAGATTATATTCCAAAGATGAAGCAAAACTGAATTAAAACCAGAAAACTAAAATTGTTTTTGCTAATTAAAAAATAATAATATT